TTTGAGGAACGGTCCTGTAACTCACCCTCCACCCAGTGAAGATTTCATCACCTGACCATCGTAAAGTCATGGAACTGTCTCAGTGCAATCATGAGGCTATGAGTGGAACATGACACTGCTCACTATGAGGCCTATACACACACACACAATGACTGTGAATGAATCTTCTGGGCAGAACTTCACATGAAATAGTGTTACTCATTCATATAGTGTACTTAAAACAGCTATAAGCCTTAGGTGGCCAGCAGCAGCATTCGATCTGTTTAAACCAGTCTTTTTTTAAAGAAACAAACATCTCGATCAGCTCTATCCACAAACAGCCCAACTTATTTGGAAATGCATCAGTAGTGAGATAAGACGTGATTAGAAATGACCAAGGAAAAAAAAAAAGTGAGCATCCCAATATGACACGTCATGTGTGTTGACAGAGAATGTTCCAAGATGATGGCGTAGCACTTTTGGCCTGTTGCGTGTGCTTCTATCGTTTGGTTGTAGATCTTGTCAGATAAAAGCATTTCCTAGGTGACTAAGCCTCTTTGGGCTATAAAACATGGCTTTGCTCTCTTCTGGCTCATACACACTTATCCCTTGGGTGAGCTGGCTTAATAGCTAACTGCAACTTTCGCGTGGGGATCCTCAAAAGTTATCCTCATGAAATCCACAACAGGTAACAGTAATATCTACCTTAAATATTACTTGTGTAAATATAACCAATTACGCGTTATTTAAATACACTACATTAGTAGCACTCCTCTATCTTTGGAAGGCAAATATTGCATTTCTCTCTTTTCTTTAGGTAACCTGCAAGTATCTATCAATCTAGTGATCACATACCTCTTCTGCATATGTGCGGCTACAACTCTGAAATGCAACGTGGTGTCCTTGGTAGAACTGTTTGAAAATGAGATGAAAGATGTTTTCCATGAATACGTGAGTATTTTAGACATTTTTTTTGCAACAACACTGTATTAATCATAATTACCATAACTCATATTATATAGACACCATGAGGTATGCTCCTTAAAACAGAGGTTTCTCCATGGTTCTTGGCTTGGTAGGACAGTTATAGCACGAACATTTATGTGTTATTAGATTGTAGAAGTTCTTTAAAGGGGAATTCCAACACATTGTTTAGTTATTAACAAAGTCATTCAGATTAGCTTGATGTGAAGCGGTGCCGTGCAGAGAAACTTACAGTGGTGGTGATAAGAACCGGGGGGGGTAGGATGTGTACAACTCAAATGTATTTGCTATCCAAAACTGTCAGTGAACCTATGTGTTTTGTTAGCTTTTGTGTGTTAATAATGATAAAATCATGGTAAATCTGAAAAATAAGTAACTTTTATAAAATATGTCTAGTTCAAACCCATACATCAAAACTGTACACCACTGTAAACAATACTGAGTAACACTTTATTTGAAGGCTACCTACATAAGAACTTCATAACACATGAACAAGTATTGAATTATGTGCTTATAAGTTAGTAGTTGAGTATTTATGAACAGCTTATGCCATTAATTGCAAGATGACATAGGATGTTTCATGAAGTAAATGTAGTAAGCCTGGCATTTTAAAGGGGTAGACATAAGGGTGACAGACATTTATTCCTTTTGTAACTTCTTAAAAACTGAACTTTTATACTTATATAGTGTTTTTATTTAGGCCTCTGCATAGCCTTGTACAAGCTCCATCATTAGAGAAGAACATAGTTATAACAGTGTTATAAATGAAACAAACTGTCCATCACTTTAGTTTAAGGTCCCTTATGTCAGTACAGTATTATTTACGCCATTAAACATCTTCTGTCATCTTGTGATTAATAACATATTCTGTTCATAAATACTCAAGTATTGCTTTATAAATATGTTATTCAAGGCTTATTAATGTGTAATAAAGTCCTTATGCAGGTAGCCTTCAAATGAAGTGTTACCCAGTTCTGATTTCGGTGTTATACAATGTATGTACATACATTAGACATTTCTTGGCATCATCTTCCAGCTGTTATGAAAACAGATTCATCCAGAAACAGAAATGACACTTAAGCTGTCAGATATTTATTGTTATGATTTTTCATTTCATCAATGCTGCAGCAATATTATCCATATTATCCTTCTAGTTACATGAGTTTATATGGCATGTGATTATTGCAGGGCAATCCCACTCATTTATAAAAATTTCTGCAAGATTGAATCGTCATTCATAGTGGTTTGGTGTGAAATGTTCCGTTCTAGAGAAACAGAGTCAAGAGTTGTTCACAGTGGAGGTGATAGGAACCAGATGTATGAAGAGTTTATTGCCTCTGAAAGTTCCCCCACCCAGCCTTATCACACTAAATGATTACCATGTATCCTGATGGCTGAGACATTGTTTATGCTAGTTTTTTTTGATGTGGCTTTAGGTTAAAATGTATATATTTCTATGTATTTATGTATTTGTAGTGGAGAGGGTACATGCAGGGCAGTTTTCTTGGATTTTCCACAATTTTATCATTTTCAACATTCCATATAAAAAAACTTAGAAGACGTGTAGATTCACTGGTGGTTTTAGATAGTAAACAAAAAGGCTATATTTGTGTTGTGGTGAGATATGGTGAGCTCTGGTTCCTATCACCACCACTGTAAAGAAGTCAGAGTCGTTAAGGTTCTCTACAAGGAACCGTTTCACATCAAAGCACTCTGAATGACTTTGTTGACATCTCAATGACTGAATTATACAGGAATTTTGAAAACATTCCTCTTTAAAGTCAATATTTGAAATTTGAAATTTTCTTTGGTAAACTTGTCCGAGCTCAAATCTGAAGATTTTTTTTTTCAAAATCAATATGGCCAAAAGTGAGTTCCTAATGACTTAATTTAATTTTTTTATATACGTATAATCGGTGAATTTCCTGACAGATTTAAGGAGGATTCTGCCCATTTTTCATATTTTCTGCAGAATTTAGTAATTCAGAGTTAAATTCAAAGTCTACTGAAGTAACTCAAAGTTATTCAGAGCGATTTGATGTAAAATGCTCTTTTCTAGAGAAACTTATTTAGTTAGAACTTTTCACAGCGTTGGTGATAAGAACGCCTCACAGGAAGTGGTTATGTAAAGTGGTTATAAATATACTGCCCAACACCCGAGACATTGTTTTACAAAAAAGCTTTAGGCCTGAAACATATTTTATTTTTTGCCAAGTTTCTCCCATGAAGTACCATTTTACATCAAGCTACTCTGAAAGACTTTGTTTACATCTATCAATGAATCATGCCGTAATTTTGAAATATTGGTGGAATTCCCCTTTTAGCCTCGTCCTAGACTACACAGCCTTCTAAATGATATTCTAGTCCAGGACTAAAGGAATAAAGTCATGGTCACATTAAGTTATTGATTTTTAACCAAATTAAAAAAGAGCAAGAAGATCCTACATTGTTTGTGAAAATGTATGAAAAGTATATTACATATAATCAGATTTTTACTGGTAAATATTCAAGGTATGGCTACACAAACTTTCATTGGTTCAGAACAAACCAAACAGAGAATTGTTCCTATCATGCTAAATGTAGCTGTGGGAAATGAACAGATCACTGCTGTACTTCCTGAAGGTTAAATGCACTATTACAGTGAGCTTGTTAAACTGCTAATCAGTGCTGGGTAACGGGAGACGGTACTGTCCGTTTGTTCACTTGCTGTATTTCTGTCCTAACAGGATGTTGTTAATGGGAAAGCGCAAGGGTCCGTCAAATTCCCTCTGCTGCACTTTAACTCCACATCAGACCACCATCAGAACCATTCGGCTATCTGCGGGATCAACTACATGGCATACGCACTTAAAAAGATTCTCGAAGATCAAGAAGTTTTGAATTACGATAAAACGCAGTTGATTGGTAATTTATCCTCTGCTAGTCACAGAGTGAAAGAACATGTGAAACCGTGCCTTGAACACGTCCTCATACATCATAAAAACTGTATCATTTATCCAGAATTCCCAACACAAAAAGACACCTTCACACGCAAACAGTGGGGCTGGGCTGCATTGAAACACTCTTTGCAATTCCTGGAACGGCTGGTGACCTTTCTGAAAAAGAAGTTTCCACCTCCACAAAGACAGCCATGACGCATTTTTCATTTAAGTCCAAAATTTAATTTTATTTTTCTTTTGTAAAACTTTGTAATATCCAAAACTTATTTATACAATTACTGTATATATTACAGTATATATTTATTTGCTGGATTTTCTATTCCGTATTTATTAATAAAGTATTATTTTGCAATACCTTGTGTTCATTTTGTGTTGTGATTTTAGTCTCAGTGGGAACTTTTATTAGATTTTTTCAAAAATGAAAAAACGGAATTTAAAAAAAAAAAAAGAAACTTTGAACAGCACTCATTAGAGAAGCAGGTGCACAGTTAGATCTCAGAATTTAGCGTGTAATTTGCAGGCTGCGATCCCACGAGATAATCATAATTAATCAACTTGTCATATGTGCTAAGGAAGTGACTTGGCTCATGTTAATTTTCTAATTTCGATGCAGGATGTGTTGAACAGATAATCCTGATGATTAATTGTTTTTACAGAGAGAGGGAGAGAGAGAGAGTGAGTGAGTGAGTGAGTGAGTGGGAGGGTTTCCACTGTGGATAATCTAATTTACATATATCATGAGTTTTAAATGCACTATAAACACAAAAGACACACTTAGACTGTAAAACGTCCTTACCTGATAAAATAAACCTGAGTGTAAAATATGAGAGCCATGGGTGGAGTACATTTTTTCAAACAGTGTTTCCCAAAAGCATCTTAGGCCAAACACTCTCTCTACCAATTAAGGTGATCTTAATACTAAGATGCTTTTGGAAAACTGGGCCCAGATGAGGGGCAGTTACGGCTATAAGCTGTTGCTATTCTTATTTGTTTAGCACAGACAAAAAAAACAAACAAAAAAAAAACAGCCATTTTAAATCTCATTTGTAATACTGTCAATAAACTGTGTTCACTGTGGTCCAATGCATATCCAGCAGATACAGTGAGTGATTAAAACTTTATTAAATTAACATATAGCAGTTTACATGCAAGTATTTAACGCAAATCTCAGATCAGTGTAAGAATTGCACTGGAAAAACAATACCAAGAAGAAAAAGCATACTTATTATAAGTTCAAAAAAAACCTTGAAAGTTTAGCATTTACCTTTATTGTTTACCACTGAGTCAACATTTATTGCATCCATATGCACTATTCTAGACACACTGTTTCTGTTCGAGCTTGGGAACTGTTAAATATGTGGTAGATCTGGTGGGGCAAACATAACCTGACATCAGACTCACACGGTGAAGCATTTCCAGTTTAGTCAACACCTGGGAGGGTGTATTTCTTGGAAAGCGTGCAGTGGTCCTGAAAATACCTGCAGCACCATGGTGGCCGACAATAAGACGAAACAAAATATTCACACACACCCCTTATAAGCAACTAGATGATCATCACTGATGAGGTCAAGATGGTTCTATGCACTTATGAAGTGTACACAATGCCTTTCATCCTTTTTCCCCCCGCTGCCAGTTCACTTCTTTGTGTTGTTGCGTTCAGTTTGTTCATTTTAGTCCAACACGGCCATTCAAAAACACTGAAAGTGGGAGGTAGCACATCACCTTTTCACATGGAAATACACTCCTTCTGAACACAAACCATCAGATTGGCAGGAGTTCGGGAGGGCTTTCACCATAACAGTACTTGGCCTGAGGGTTTCTGTAGGTGTTTTCATGCTGGACACTCTGGGGAACAAATAATAAAACATACACATGACCAATCACTTGATACAACAGTTGGATTAATTCACTTTAACCTGCTGAAAGGAACGCAAAGGAAAAATGTGAGGATGCTACAGCTGGAAAAGAAGCATTTTTGGGTGGAGAGCATTGCCTTCATGCATAACTGAGGTGTAAACAGATACGCAAAATAATGATGGATTTGAACTTCTCTGAATATTTTCAAATGATAATACAGATAATTCAGTATATTTCTGAAAAAAAAATGTAATTACATTTTACTCAGTTCCACTTTCGCCATTTATATTAAGACCCTATTTCCTGTTCTGTGTTTATTTTCTTTCTGCTGATGACGCTGCCTGATGATGACATTGCTACTGATGACATTGCTTTTGCTGTTACTCACACCTCCCACTTTAGAGTTTCAGCTTAAGAACAAAAGCATTTTATTTTAGACCAAAAGGTTTCAAAAAAGAGAACCACCCAACAAACTTTCATTCATCCAGATGCTGGACGTACCAAGACGTTCTACTGCGGGTCTTTAGGGAAGTCTTCTTTACTGCAACTCTCAAGTCTATATTTCCTTCTACTTGAGTCACTAAGGTAAGAATAATTCAGTTGGGTGCAGGTTTAGGCTCCTCCACCCACCTCTGTCTGCATGGTGCTTGCTAACTTTAACACTACTGAGCCAAATTTGATGATGTGCTGAGGAAGTACAAAGAGGAGAGGCATGCAGCATTTTTGACATGCACCTGTGAGGAGGTACGGCATTTAGCCAGGCACAGCTCAAAGTGATCCTCTACTGCTGTGAAGAGATTCTTAAAACCTTCAGCTGCTCGGTTCAAAAAACGCTCCAGGAGGGGTTGCTGAGAGAGAGAGAAAATGAGAGAGAGTGTACTCGGTCAGTACAGTACATTTGTTTAAGTTATAGGCCCAGATATCTTGGGCTAGCACACTGGTCCATCATCTAGTACATTTCCAACAATGTGGAATACTATATCTAATTTGCATTGTCACTACTCAGTATTTTGACAGTCAGTTGAGAAATCAGTTTTTTAGGTTGAACAACGAAAATGGACTTTACTGACCAATAACAAGCCGTGCATAGCCTTTCAAAGATTATAAAGTACTTTACTTTAAAGATTAAGCAAGAAGTCTTTACACTTACTTAAAATGATTTTAAAATGACAAAAATACACAGTTATATGCAAAGGTTTTGCCACTGGTCAAATTGCTGATTTTGTTGAGTTACCACATAACTTATAAAATACTCCACATGATTTTTAAGTTAACACATGAAAATAAAATAACATTCTCTAGGGAAAACACACTTTTCTGCAAATTTTAATTTTAAATAATGTTAGTTTTAGATGAAGTAGCAAGTCTTCAATCAATTAAAATGTATTTAAAATGACAAATGTACAGTTTTATGCAAAGTTACCACATACATTACATGATTTTACAAGTTAACACACGAAAATAACATAACATCCTCTATGGGGAACACACTTTTCTGCAAATTTTAATTTTAGTTTTAGTTTTCCCTAAATGTTTAATTTAGTAAATAAACTGAAATTGAAATATGCCATATACATTAAGTTTGTTCCTGGCAGACAATGTGTTGATTTCACTTAGAATATCAACAAAACATGGAATCTGGCCTGGTGTGGGCTGTATATGAAAACAGTACATGATTAAAAAATGTGTGTCTGTTTCTTACTGTTAAAAAAGACCATTTGGAGAAAAATATGCATTATTTGCAAGCAAATATGCAAACTGCCAAGACGCTATTGCTGACTCAGTGAGAATTTCAAGCATTACATAGTAAGATTGTGATCAGTACCTTGTCAGGCTGAAGGCAGCAGGAGACGCAGTACTCGTACACACTGCAGCAGCCGTTGGGCAGACAGCTCTTACAGATGTACTGCCTGGAGCTCGGCGCGTTCACATTACAGCAGCCGTTAACCAGCAGATCTTTCCTCTCACATACATAACCTAAACCACAGCAACACAAAGGTTATAACACAGGAACCGTCAATACAGCATGTCTTACTTTCACACAATACCCGATCGGTGAAGAACTTAAGTGTCAAGCTTATCTCCTTAAACCGTACGCTTATCACTCAGTAGTTACTACAGTTGCATGCAAAGGTTTGAACACCCACAGTCACAAAGTTGATGCTGTATTTAAATATAATTACTGCATTTCACTGAAATACTTCGCTGGATATAACTTATATATCTGACTACTTGCATTTTGCACATTTTACTTATTTAACAATATTGGCTGCCAGATCACGGTTTCAACCAAATACTGTGTTCCATTGATGTTCTGGCTGCTACCTCAGTGACTGTTATGCTCATATATGTTAGGCTATCTGCTAATCTGCTAATATGTCACAGTATGTTACATCCTCCTTTGCACAGCTCCACATATTCTTCAGTACCTTGTACTGTCCGTGCTACGTTCTGTATTTATTGTACTGTTTGGTCTGCACTGTGTTTATTGTATTGTCTTGCACTTGTGTTCCTGTGTCGGCCCTAGAGGAACGTTTTTTTTGTTCACTGTGTGCGTACATAGCTGAAATGACAACTTCAGCCTCTTGAACTTGAACTTCACGTTACATGTTAACATTATTTATTATTACTAATATTATTATCATTATTACTAATAACATTAGTTTTTACATGTTAACAAATTAACATCCTCTACAAAGGAAAATGTGCCATAACTTATATACTGGCCACATTTCATTACCTTTTTCCATTATATTCAGCAAATAAACAGTAATTGTGCATTAAATTGTGTGTTCTCTGTGGAGGATGTGCTAATTTGATCCACTTACAAATCAACAAAACATATCGTCTGACCGGAGGCACCCAAACTTTTGCAAATGACTGTATGAAGTGTTCTGTAACAACTATAGAACTACTATGAGAAGTAAAGTGAGGACCCCTATACAGGCCCTTACAGTTTAAGGGGATAATACGGCCAAAATATCCACAGCCATGATCCTATTTTTGCATTTATGAATATGAATTGAGAAAACATACATTCTCTCTGGCATTCAGTATTTTATTTCCCTCAAATTAGAGCTGAAACAGATGGAATAGCTTCCCAATCCTGCTCCTGGAGTCCACCTGCACTGCATATTTTAATGTTCTGCCACTCTATAACACCTGGCTTAATGTGGTAAAAATAGGGTTGGTAAAGCAGGGAGACACCAAAGAATACAGCGTTAACATTGCTTATTTAAGGGTAACTAGGTAGCTAAACTAGCTTACCAACTAATATTATCATGACGTGTTTGAACGGATGCTTGTCTAAGGTTTTTTTGCTTTGTTAGCTGCCATTATGAAGACCTACAAAACTACTAATCTTGTTAACCATAGTGGAGTGATGGAATATGGGGTGCGTAACTCTTTCTCAATTGCTTTGAATTCAAATCACTGTTCAAAAGTTTGGAATTTATGTTTTTTCAATACACAAAAAAAATATTTTCATTGCAACTAATAGGTGTAACATGATTGTGCTTTGTTAGTTCACAGCTTTCAAATAATTATATAAAAAACCACATTATACATTATATATATATACATAACACATTATATAAGTATTTGCTATATGTACATGAACAAAAGTTATTTATATGACGGTATTGTACATACTAAAAATAATGTTTCATGCAACACACAAGTAGGGCTGTAACAATAACTTATTCTTATTCTAATATTCTGAAAAAATTATTAAAATGCACCTCTATGAAATGGTCATGGTTACAGTTTTACATGCGATTTTAAAGGTTTCACTGTTTTGTTTATCTTTGGGATCTTTGCAAAATTTGTTTTTGTTCAGTCAAAGGGGAATTTCAACAAATTTTCAAAAATTCTGCAAAATTAAACATTTAAGATTTAAGAGTGGTTTGATGTGAAATGTTCTGCTCTGTAAAGTGTTCACAGAGGTGGTGAGGGGAACCAATGGCCAAAATTTTAAATGCCTCTAAAGGTTACCTCACAAAAAAAAAACTATTCAATGGTAGGGAATATGTTGCCTTACAACACACAATGATGAGACACTGTTTTATGAGAGTTTGAGAAGGCTTTGGCCTGAAACATATTTTTTTTAAAGAAAATACATTTTTACAGATTTACCACTATTTTACTATTGTCATTACAGGACTTACGACACGTGTTGGTTCACAGGTCAAATAAATAGTAAATAAAATGGCTACATTTGTGCTATAGGCATTGCAAACTCCTGGTTCCTTTCACCACCAATGTAAGAAAAAATTCAGTAAGTTAGTTTCTCTACCATGCACCGTTTCCTATTAAACCACTCTGAATGCCTCTGTTTAACTCTCAATGACTGAATTGGGCATGAATTAGTTGGTGAAACTCCCCTTTAAGTCTGTATTTCGCTTTAATCATTAAAGTGAATCATTAAATCATTAAATTTACTCAGTTGCTAATACAAGCAGCCCTATTCACAACCTGCAACGTGTTTTACCAAGGAGAGCCTGACTAAAACGTGCAGGGCAGTGGTGCACCAGGACCTGGATTGTGAAAGCATCTCTTCTGGATCTCAGGTGGTGAACAATCAGGGATTGTGTGAGGTTCCTCTCTGCATTATTTACCAAGTTCATCTGTGAGGAGGGTCTTCCCCTGTATGGAGTTTCTACACTGTGTGATCTGTCTGCTGCTGTTGCCCAGGTTGAACTTCACCCTCCATGGTATGTGGTGGTCAGATTCGCTCGTCTGAAGGAGCGTCCGGTCCCGTCCGGTTCGCTCCTCCTGGCAACAACACATCAGGGGGTTTAACAAATGACTGCACTGCACTAAATAAAACACACCAGCACTGGACTGTGCCACTTATATGCAAGGTCTTCTTTACCAAGTCACTGGTCAACACTAATCCATTTCAATGGACTGTTTTGCTAAACTCACTTTCACCACCAATTTGTAGGTCATGTCTTAACTAGTAACATTTTCTGGCTGCAGTTTTGGATGACAAAGCAACTTCGTGTTATCTGAAATGGAGCTGAAAGATAAAACAGAGCTCAAACAAAATGTTTACTTAGCTCAGCTTATGACATTTTTCACCTCTTAGCAGCTACTAAACTCAACATAGAAACTAGTTTGTGTGGTGAGGCCCTTTTTGGTTTGCCAACATACAAACCTTAAAAGGCCTTATCTTACATTTTTTTGTATTTTCTTTTTTCTCCTGAGGTTTGTGTGAATGAATGTACCAGAGACAACTTTTTTTTTTTAATATGACCATGTTCCAACCTCTCTTTATACCATAGAAATTAAACAGGCTGTGTTATTGTGTCTGTCAGACTGGTTTATGTAAATACCTCTGTTCTGATTTGCTGTGTTGTATTTTGCCTCATTTAGAAAGCAGGAAAGCAGGCCTGGCTGAAACACTCCTTATAGCTTCAGTGTGAAAATTCAGGGCTAAATTGTAGCCTGAATAAGTTGTTATATGTAAATCCATTAGTTTAAGTGTTTTCACATTGTTTGAACTCTTTTTTGTACTCATTGAACTGCAACCAAAACAGTGAAATCAAAGCACACACTGCATTTAAACAGCTCCACATGGACCAAACATGAAGAGTAAAAGATCCATTGCACTGATTTAACACTGTTTTAAGAGAGCAATACAGTCGCGCCTTCATTACACTTCAATGTGGACTGTATTCAACTCTAACACAAGTTCAGTGTTTCGCTGCTGTCGGGAGAAAACCTCGTATCTCCATTTTTGTCGTTTTTCAGTTTATGACATAATTTGAAAATGCCTGTTGCTCTTTACATTGTATGTAAATGTCATGATAAATGGACCAAAAGAAACGGCCCAAAATGACTTGGAAAAAACCCTGGTTCCATTGACTTACATTAAAGTCAAAGTATGTTTTTTCCTTCTCCTGTAAAGTTACCATTTTGGAGATACAAGGTTTTGTTCCGACAACAGCGATTTCTTGTTTTAAATAGAAATCCTAGTACTATTTTTCAGTAAAAGAGGTCAGACGATGTGAAAATAATATAATAAAGGTTTTATTTTTAGTTTAGGCTCGTATTCTGCATGTCACTATGGCGAAGTAAAGTCATGCATGCGTTGCATTTCACGTTTTTTCCACTATAGTGACTGCATTACGATGTGGCACAAGCTCTTCTCCATATATTTTACCATCTCTTGCTGTATTTACTGTATGTGTAGAAGTGTCCCATGAGAATAGAGCATCACCTGTTTGAGGGTGCTGGTGACAAAGTAAAGGAGGGACAAGCCGAGGACGACCCCCAGGACCCAGCGTCTGCGCAGCAGCCTGCGGAGCACCATGGATTCTTTCTTCTGGATGTGCACCAGGTCCAGGTAGTTCACCACGACGAGCACTAGCACTGCAGCTGTTTAAACAACCGCATCCAGCTTTTCTAGATCTGGACACAAAACGCCCTTTTCACCACTGCTGCTTCGCGACGGACGAACAAAGCAACGACTGCTCAGTTAACGGCAGTTAGCAACAGCTAGCGAGCTTAGCTAACTAACCCATTTTAGGCCAAAACGGATTTAGCTATATCAAAAATACACATACGGTCGCTTAGTAAGTAGTGTACATATACAGTTTAACAATATACGGTCTCGGTTTTGTGACTGTATGTTTAATTTAGTGTCGTCTGGTAAGTCTGGCGATGAACTGGTGACCTAAAAAAAACATCAAAACAAACAAGAAGGTTAAATTAGCCGCATAGCATTTAGCAACGTCTCATTCAGGCCGCTAATATAAGCAGGCAGTTATGCAGACGGGTTAAGAGAGCGTAAAATCTATTAGTTAGTTAAAAAATCTCTTAAATCGGTCGTATGCGGACGTGTTATTTGGGTTAGAAAAGGGAGATGAAATCGGTATTGGAAACTGACTGCGGCGTCTGAACTAGCGATGTCCGACTTGTGACTGACTCGTTGGTTTTGAACCGGTTCCTTTTCAATAGAAAAGCCGAACCGACTCACAAGTCCAACTGAATCGGCTCAAAGCCTATTTGCTCACTTTAGCTTGCGAGTATTTTTGTATTTTTCATTTCATTTCATTTCATTCCGACGCACACTGAACTTCATTTCTAAGTATGAAAGTGCTATGCGAAGTATTGTTATTATTATTATTATTATTATTAGTTTGTCTCTGTAGACTGAAGCTGACACCCTCGTCCTTTTTATGACGAGCTATTTAAACCTCGTGTGTTGTATGATTTGTGTGTAATTTGAAATTTTATTTAAACCATCATGTACAGGGGTAAATGTACAGCTCCAATTACATCTTGGAAGAATTAGACATACAGATTCGTATTGAACATATTCAAATGGACCATACATACATCCACACATAAATAACAAATAATAATTAAAAATATGTACATAAATGAAATAAAAAGGTGATAAAAAATAAGAATAAAATAAATAAATAAATAAATAAATAAGAATAAAAAATGCAGTGCTTTAATAATTTCATTTAACAAAATGAATCTTTTAGCTTTTTTTTTTTTTTTGGTTCTGTTGTAGTTGTAATAAGGAATCATACAATTTCAGAATAGCCTAAAAATAGGTGAAAAAAGGTAAGAACGAAGTGAGTGATATTTGTTCTGTATGTAGTTTTGTATGCTGTTAGTTCTGTATGCTGTAATGCTTTTTGTGGTTTTTTACACGCCGCTGTTTTCCTATGTTGTGTCTTGTTTTTGTCCATTGTTTTGCACGTTTGCTGTGTTTAGTTTTGTGCATGTTTTCGGCTTCCATTTTCCCAGTCGTTGAACCCACAGGAGCGAAGACGAATCGTTAACTGAATCGGACTGTGAGTCGCTGACCCGAATCTTTTCCCCAACAAAAGACAGTAATGTCACAGAGAGCGGATCGTGATTGGCTCCCCGCGGTCCACGCCTCCGGAAAAGGTTGTTGTTCAAGCCCCGCCTGCTCTAAGCAGGGGTAGCTCTTGTAGCTTCAGCAGGCTAAAGCGGTTTGTTTGCAGGCTGGTCAGTGTTATGAGGGCCGAGATGATGGTGAGATGGTCAAATTTCTGTTTTCTAAAGTGGAGAATGTAGGAGATGGACTCACTGGGTTGCCTTGCATTTGTTTTACTAACATGGTGGCTCTACGTGCCTTTGTTTTCGGAGGGTTTGGTCACTAGAAGCGCACAGTTCAGGTTGCTGCTGTGGAGTAAAAGCCTTAAAAAGCAGATCCATCATCGTTTTCGTGCTCTAATGCAAAAATGTTGACCTTTCACAATGTATTTCTAATTCATGGCCATTTAAGAATAAGAGGCTAAGAGGACAGAAAGAGAAATAAACGAGCTTTAGTCAGTCAGAAACATCATCATTGGAAAACAATGAAAACAGTGGTGTTGACAGTGAATGCCATGCATGGTTCTACAAGGGTTCTTCTATGAATGCAAGGTTCTGTTTTGAACCATGAGATCTATATAGACCCATTTGCATGCTTGAGTGGTTCCTTGTATGGTGAAATGATCCTTCAGACTGATAAAGGATTTGTTGTATATGGTTCTATATAGAACCTTTTCGAAAATGGGTCTATGTAGCACCAAAAGGGTTCTTTTGTTGTTACAAGCTTGACATCATAAGAATAGCCCTTTTCAGTACCATATAGAACCTAAAGCAACACAGTCTCCATCCATTTGAATAGCCATTTCACCATGTAAAGAACCATTTAAGCATGAAATGGTTCTATATAGCACTCATGGTTCTAAATAGGACCACTCCCTTCACTAAAGAACCCTTGGAGAAGCATCTTTTTTAGGAGTGTAGCTTAAAGAGACACTCTGGCAAAACCAGCCTCCTACAGCGGTACTACAGTCATCTCTAGAATGGGTTTTTCTGGTTTAAAGACTGGAAAAAAAACCCTTTTGATGATGTATCTTGAAGGTGGGGGCGGAGAGGATCTGTTTTTCTGTTTTTTTTTTATTTTATTTTTTTTTTATTTCTTGATATCTAGCGAATGCAGAAGGAAACCAGATAGCTGGACTTAGTTACGAAGATGAATACAAAGACGAATATCGCATCTGTGTTTATAAGCCTCTACATGTTTGTCACCTTGGGAGGTGGGATTCCCAGTAGCTTTCTGATGTATTTGCGTAATGCATACTGGGTATTGTAGTGAGAGAACACTCATGGATGAAAACATAAGTAGGAAACAAAATCATGAATTCTATCAAAGCGAGGCTGAGAGGTACATTTCTGTGCCACAGAATGTTACATAACATGACAAATACCTTATGAAATGCTCGTCTGAGGCTGGAACGTCCATTTAAGGCCCCTTTAAGATCAGGTTTAGAGCCATCGCTAATGATCACAGGGTATTTTTTTACAGATCTTTACGATAATTCATTGAGTTATGATTAAAAGAGCTATTTTAAGGCAATAAAATTGACTTAACTGAGTGATAACAAATGATGCATCGCCTTTAAAAGATTCCAGACACACTTTGTTGAGAAAATTAACCTGAAAAACTTCATTAAAACAACATGTATAATAAAACAACACATAGCATAAAATATGAGTGAATGGGTCGGTGTCAGTTTTCCTGCCATACAAGAGTACAATAATAATTGATGACCCCTCCCCCACCCCTGCACTTTTGAATAATCAGGTGTGATCGAGCGATTGTAACAACACTATTAGGGTCTGAATTGGATGCTGCACTATTGGATCATTAGCTGGGGTGCTTATTAGTCTTCTCACCCAAATGCCTTCATGGAATCCTCTCCAGTCTGACTTATCAGCTGCTGATTAATCACTCTAATTAGTAACAGTACTTGTTTGTGGTGTTAATTTTGGTGTCTGTTTTTTTTTCCCCACCCAGATTTACAGCTTCTGGTGACAAAGTTGGCGCCATGCAGAGACGCCACAGCAGCAACACGGACGGCATGCCGCCTGAAAGGTTGGGCTTTCCTCAGTCAGCACTGCAGAGTCACAGCACTGAATGGGCCTGTAGTCAGATTACCCTCTGTTTAGCCTAATTGTACAGTTATGGCACTGAAGCCAAATTACACCAAATTAAAAAAAACAAATTACTCTCCCTTTTTGAAATTGAGTTTTATGCAGTATGTAAACAAAACATACCATTCACTTCCCAGTCCATACAGTCCCAAAGCAGCAAAAGCAGCTTGTTTTAAATTCAAAGGGCCTCGTTCTCCAACCGTTCTTAAGAAGAAATTTCTTTCTAAAACCCACTTACGCAGTTTTCACGAAGTTTCCGACATTCACCAGTGTTTCTTATTTGGGATTAGTTCTTAGGTAAGAACAGAATCTACACACACTCAAGAGCACAAAGGTGCGGTTTAAGAACACGTCATGAATCTGATGTAGACTTTTATTTAGGACCTTTCTCAGGAACACATTTAAGAAAAAACTTAGGAAGGTGTTGGTGAATGAGGCCCAATGTTCTTGTGATGTCACAAAAATATTTACATATATCCACCTATGCAGCCAACAGCGGTTTAGCTTCACCCATTCATGCTGTAGTTGTAAGAAGTGTTTCAGCCTTGACTGCTTTTTAATTGAAGCACTATTGGCAGCCAGTTGAAGCAGAGATCATGTGTGTGTATCAGACTTAAAGGCGCAGTAACAAAAAAAGGGATTTGAGGGATAAAGAGAGCTTGGAAAATGTTCATGTGAAAAAGAATTGCAACTGTTTTATATATATATAAAACTACACAAACATCATGACCGTGATCATGAAAGAAAAAAAGAAAATATTGGATATGGGCCCTTTAACTGGACAGTAAACTATGCATGCTTTTAAAATTCTCAAATATTTTTTGAAAAACTTCTCAGAATTGCTTTTAAAAAGACAGCATTAAATGCAAATACATTGAAATGAACTATGGGACAAACTCATACAAATTTGCATGTTCATCTGTAACAGAGACATATATGAGAACTTAAAATATGCTTTATCAACATGCAAATTGACACCTAAACTTCTTAATCATTGAGAAATAAGTCCTTTTTTTTTAATGTACTTCAGTGTATCAGTAGCCTGAAAGTCCCCTCTGAATCTACAGGAACAGGAGTCAAACTCTTGGGTCGGAGAGCAGCCTGGATGAAGGAGGGGTGTTTGATTGTCTGAAGCCAGACTCACCCACCTCTCCCCAGCAGCTCTTCTCTGGGCTGGTGGGGGTCTCTGCTGGCACCGTAACCTCAGCCCCCTTCCAGGCTGCTGGACTCGTCCTGGGATCTCCTCCAGAGGTCTTCATCCAAATGACTGCCTCGTCCAGGGAGGAAGGCCCTCACCGGGCAGAGAGCACGCCCTACCATCCCCGCCCTCCGCAGCACCACCATCACCACCACCACCATCATTTCCACCAGTCTGGACAGCACCGCTCCTCTCTGCTCCATTCTGCCTCTTCAACCGAGAGACACGGCAGCAGAGATGATGGAGGTGAGGACTGTGCAGCCTGTTAAAGAGATTGTGTGGTCAGAAATAAAGTGTACTCAATTTTCTCCTTAGCCCAAATGTAGTTGTTTAAACAAGACATGATTGATTTTGCACTGGAGCTACAAGGTCAATGTTGCTCAGTAGGAAGGGGTCCAAACTGTTTTTCTGAAGGCTGTTTCTGGCTGTGCGTCTCCCTGTTGCTAAGCAATAACAGCATCCCAACTGTCAGTCAGCTGTACTTGGAAGCTATTGTTTAAATATGTACAGACAGAAACTGTAACTAGTACCATTAACAAGCAAATGTGGTTTTCTTAACAAGCACATTAATTAAGTATAATTAAGCATGATTTTTCAGTGGGAATGTCACACCAAATCCTTTGTTTGAATAAGAATAACTACACTAAGACCTTTTTTTTCATTAATGTGCCATGAACAGCTTACAGAACGTAAGGATTTAGGGGCCACTGCAGCAAACCCTGGCTGACCGGTGATGCGGTCTGTGAGCTTGAAGTCAAATTGAATGAAAGTGTTCAAAGAAATCCACTTTATTCATTCAGAATTCAGTGCATCTAAGAAATCAGGACTCAGGTTTTATTGAATATGGACCTGCTGAACGGACAATTAGAAGCTGGCTGTCACGGTTTTAAGGAATGCTAATCATTTTGTGGCGCTACATTAACTCTTCGGCAGCTTGAGGATACAGTGGCTCATACTGTTAAGGCTCAAGACACACTGCCTGAGCAAAAACACCTTCCCTCGTCAAAGATGGGGATGGTAGTAGAGAAAAATCGTCAACCTCGTAAGACTCTCAGTTGCAAAAGTGCCGTTTGATTCTGTCAGTCTCCATATTTTCTGGTAGCTAATGTACACTAGCTCTAAAATACAGCAGCTCAGCCCACCTGGTTTCCTTGCAGCCCCACCTCCAAATCCATGGATCACTGCAGTGCCCCTCCCAGCGTGCCCCCCCCCCCTTTTTTGAGCATTTTTCAAAGTTGAGCCAGGGGTGGAGTTAGCTGAAAATAGTGGGGTGTAGTTACTCTTCAACACGGTGAGAATGTGGGAAGAAGCCGGAAAAGGAAGGAAAAATTGATTCTTAAAGTAATGTCAACGATGATTTTTATCATTTATCTTTTAAGCATTGTGACTAAAAGACACTCTGAGTGGACACCATTCTACAAAAAAGACCGGGAATGAACAGAGTAGAATACATCAAGATAAACAACAATAATGGCTGTGAAGAATTGCTGTGTTGCACTGACTAGCAGCCTTTGGAGAACATATTTTCTTTAACCTCTGCATTTTTATAGCCAGTATGTTGCTTGTTGTATAGGTTTTGTTCTCTGTCACGAGCAAGAGTAGCTATTCTGCCTCCTTTTGTTTAGACTGCAACCCTGTCAAAGGAGCTTTGATTTTTGATACGTCAGTACAATGCAGAAAATCGAGCTGGCTCTGATTAAAAATTGTACACAGCGTCAGATGACATTAATATGCCTGTGTTCTTTTTCAAAACGTGTGCGTGTCTTTTTTGTTTTTTGTTTTTTTTGGTCCCCTAAAATTGGGCTCAGTGTGAAATGGGCCTTTACCTATGATCTGATTGTTCGGCGTACAAAAAAATACTGTTAGGCTGCTTTGAGGAACGTTCTTTTTCAATTGTGGCTGCGAAAAGACTGCGCAGGGTTCATAAAACACGAGGGGGCCAGTGTGCACAAACAAAAAGCAAAGTGTGCCTCTCCCATTGAATGCTATTGAAAAAAGACACCACAGTCCACAATGAATACACACAGTGTGATCACCTCCCCCCATGATTGCTCATAGCACCTTTTTAGCAGTAATGAAAGCTGCTTGCCAGACGTACATTTAACAAGCCTGAATTTTGTCATCACATTAGCAGACTTTTTGCGATTATGAACAAAATTGGTGTGGTTTGAGGCTTATGCTTTAATCGTGCAGATTGCACGGTTGAAGACTGTTGGCTGGAAGCTTCAGTTACAGTGGTAGATTGGTAGATCTGGTGCAAATCTAAAGCAGCAAACCTGAGACACTAGACATGTTTTATTTGATTGATAAAAAGTGTAGATTTTTGTTGTGTTTGTTGTTTTTTCACTTTTAATCTTTCTAATATTTGTGCTCATAATTGCATGAGAAGTACGTTTTTGGTGCAGTGCAGCCGGACGTGGTCTTCCCTTTTCCATCTGATTAGACGTTATAATAATGACGTTACATTAAGTCAATAATGTTGAAGGTTTTACTTTCACTGTAATGAACAAAAAAAGCCCATTCTTACTTTCATTCCCTGTTATTTAGGTGATGAGGCATCCGCCCCCGCTCCTGCTCTGTCTGAGCTCAAAGCTGTGGTCACGTGGCTGCAGAGAGGACTGCCCTTCATCCTCATCCTCCTCGCTAAAGTCTGCTTCCAGCACAAACTTGGTGAGAGCTTTTGAATTCTAGTCACCTGATGAAGAAAGTCTTGTTCAGGATAGTCAAGAAAAGAGCTATTCCTATTCTGCTTACATCATTTATGGTGGTTTATCTATCTATCTATCTATCTGGGTATCTGTCTGTTTGGGTATCTGTCTGGGTATCTGGGTTATCTATCTATGTGTGTTTCATTGTGATGAATGAAATTATGCAGTTTGATCAATAAAATCATGTATTTCGATAAAATCAACACTAACGTCTATCCTAATCAGACTGTCACTGTGTGTCGTTACCAGGTATTGCTGTATGCATCGGCATGGCCAGCACATTCGCCTTTGCTAATTCTACTCTAAAGCACCAGGTGTCACTCCGAGTAAGTCTATGCCTTCAGGATGCCTTTAATATTTTTAATCTGGGACTTGCACAGGCAAGTCAAGGGTCTGGATCGTTCAGCAAGCCCTGAGAGGTTCATGTATTTTTTTTTTAATGTAGTGGCTTATTAATTTCTATTATTTATTGCAGTGATTAAATGATCAGTTGAGTCCTTTAATGCATGAAGTACAGGATGGATTTAATATTTGCTCATTTTTGCAGGAGGAGAGGTCTGTTTTCATTACTCTTTGGATCCTGCTGTTTCTGGCAGGCAACATTGTCTATGTGTACTACACTTTCAGTGCTGAGGAGCTGCACAACAGGTCAGTGTGAAAGGGGGGTCTGTTCCAGTACCACTTTTAGACACATGCATCAACCGCCAAGAGTTCCTCCATTTTACACCCTAGATTCTGTTGTCATTGTCTTTTTTTGTTTTTAAGTTGACAGACTTTTTATTATTATTTTTTTATTTTATGTATTATATTGTTTCCATTATTTATCTATTCTGTTTACATTCTTTCTTTAGGAGCATGTATGTCTACACATCATGTGAGTATTTAGTTCCCCATAACTATATCATTTTTCATCTTATTTTTTGTTTATATCCCACCCTGTAGAACTGTATCAGTCATTTTGTCCAAGTTTGATTATACAGAAAGCTGATCACAATGCTTGACTGCCTTAGGGTCAGGACAAGATGTGAGCTAGGGTGCACCAAATTTCCAGCAGAAAATGAGCAAAATGGCATTTTCAGTCAAGAAAGATTTTGGGAAAAAAATTAAAGATCTACAACAGAGTGTCAAAATCTAAGACTTTAATTTTGACAGTAAAGAAAAATGAGAAAAGGTGATTTAAAAAAAAAAATTCCTTCACTTTTGTGTCCTCGTCAGTTCAAACATGTTTAAACAGTTTGAGCAGCAGCAGATAAACTTGTCAGCCACATGGGGTTATATCACAGTTCCTATGAGACATTAGACAAGTGAATTTTAATCATTGCTAAATAATAAGAGAGTGTTCTAATACAACGCCAGAGAACTTGTCCACTACTCGTTTGATACCATGTGAAAACACAACATCCTGCTTGTTACGCAGAATACAGCCAATTATTAAAAGCAGAAAGTCCGTGCTAGTATGCCGACACCATCTGCAACTAGTTTTTAAAATGACCAAAAAAAAATCACAAATGTGCAAAGTCTAAAATCACAAAGTATAACTTAAAAATAATAGAATCCATCGCATTGGAGGAGCAACTATTCTCTATTGTCAAGGATGTGAATTTTGTCACATGCTGTATTTACAGACTGCAGTAACTATGAAGTGTTTTTATTGATTGTCAGTTTAGTTTGTTTCAGTTTTTACCCAGTGTGTCCAGAATTTTGGTTTCTGGTTTTGCTAAAAAATTACACAGCTACACTCATCTTCTGCAATAAGTGGGAAATGTCAAGTGTAAACAGGGCCTTAGTCAAATATGCATATAGACTGGTCCTTCATCGTTGGAAAAGCAGACAATAATGTTTAATTTTCCCTTGTGGTGTTCTCCCTACAGCCTTATTTTTGCCAAGCCGAACATCAACAGCTATGATTTCTTCGATCTGATCTGGGTGGTTGGAATCACAGACTTTGTGCTGAAGTACATCACCATTGCTGTCAAGTGCCTCGTTCTCTTCCTGCCTAAGATCCTCCTTGCTTTCAAATCAAGAGTAAGACACTTTCCTTGTCGTGTATATATACATATATATCAATAAAACTTGTAAACCTTTGCATACAACCGTAGATACAAGGTAGCTGGCCCTGATACACTGGTACCTCACTGTATGCATGCATGTCCCTTGACTGGCTTCCTGTGATGAGTGTTTATGGCATTGGTAAGATTGGCTATTGTCAGGTCACAGAGTGCGATTCACCAGCTCTGATAAACAAGCCAATCAATGCAGGCTGTCTCCCTGCCTGTGTGGCTGGCTTCCTGGCAAGCAGTATGTGAGCTCATGGTCCCCAGAGAGCTGGAGTGAGGTCACCTCTCCCTGGAGCACACACACACACACACATGCATGCACACACGTGCACACAGGTTTGTTTTCATACAATGTTAGGACGTGAGGTCATACGTATTTCCCATATGTATTATATTTGTGCAAGTACCTGTACAGTCTTGTGCAAAAGTCAGAGACCGCCCTTTATTTATGTACTTTCCAGTCAAAACAGCCGTTAAGTACGCGTTATTCAGTTTTTTCAGGAGTTATTTCTGAAGGTGTTAGATATACGATGCATCCACTTGCATAAGGAAAGTTAAAGTCAAAGGAAAATAAGTGAAAAAAGGAGTTTCCAAAACTGTTCGAAAAATGATCAAAAGATACAGAGAAAAAGGGACTCCTTGCAACAACCTTGCAAGACCTGGTAGACAACAAAACTGTTCCCATCAGATAAACAGCACTTAAAGCTTTCATCTTTGAGAGAGAGGAGAAAATCAAGCTGCTTCATATCTGAAAACATCCACACCCATCCTTCCACTAAGAGAAGACAACTCAACACCGAGTGTGAAATGATGTGTAGCTGTCAAGAAGCCATTTCTGAGAAAAGGAAATAAATTTGAAGAAAATTTGCAAACCAAACAAAGAAGCTGCTGGTGTTCTCAGGATAATGGACTGACCACCACAGAGTCCAGACCTCAACATCACTGAATGTGTTTGGGATTATTTGGATTGTGAGAAGCAGAAAATGTAACTTCTGAGACTGAACTTGTGGGGAACAATATCCCTGCATTTGTTGAAAAGCTGAAAGCAACTCTCCTGAAAAGAATGAAAGCTGTAATAAAGGCTTCCGTATTAAATGCTAAAAAATAACTAATATATTTAATTGTTGAGACTGAAGTGTAATTTTCCATTAAATATATGTTTTCTGTTTTTTTTCCTGATTCTGAAAAAAGAACAACTTTTTTTCTTTATTTAATGGCTGTTTTGATGGGAAATGAAATACATTGAAGGGTGGCCCGTGACTTTTCACAGCACTGTATTTGTAATAGCATTATAACCTACATGTATAGAAATACCTGCCGTGCCTTGCAAAAGTATTCAACCCCCTTTGAAAGTCATCAGATTAGTCTGTAAAACAAATGACACACAGATTGTTCCAGCCAGTATTTGTATTGAAAGCCAATATACTCTTTGAGTAAGCTTTCAAAGTAGAAATGAATTATTTGTCAGCAGATCTTTAAAAAAAAATGATAAATGCTTTTTGCATAAGTATTCAACCCCTTCAGGCTAGTACTTGGTAGAACCAAGCTGCAATAATAGTTTTAAATATGTTGGTGTGAGTGTCTACTAGCTTTGCACACTGTTTGGGAGTGATTTTCACCCATTCTTCCAGGCAGATTACCTCCAGGTTCTTCAGGTTGGTTAGATGACGCTTATGGATCGCAATTTTCAAATAGTACCACATTCTGAATCAGATTCAGATCTGGTCTTTGACTTGGACATTGTAGAACATTTTCATCTTTTTGTTGTTTGACTACTCCTGTGTTGCTTGGCCTGGTGCTTGGGATCACTGTCCTGATGAAAGGTGAAGTTTCTCTTAAGCTTTAGTTTTTTTTTAGCAGATTGAAACAAGTTGTAGTGTAGTATCTCCCTGTATTTTGCACCATCCATTCATCCTTCAATTTTAACAAGATGCCCAGTCTCTGCTAAGGAAAAGCAATATACACAGCAGGATGCTGCCACCACCATACTTTACTGTTGAGATGGTGTTTGTTGTGGAATGGACAGTGGCTGACACACAGCATTTTGAATTTTGTCCAAAAAGCTCAATTTTGTCTAATCTGAGCATAAAACCCTATCCCACATTTTAGCTGGGCCACTCTGATGCTTCCTGGTAAACATTTGACCTGCTTTGATGTGGTTTGTCTTTAGTAATGGCTTCTTTCTAGTCACCCTTCCATACAGGCCAGTTCTATGCAGAGCTCTTGATATCTTTGACTGGTGCACCTTCACTCTGCCTCAGCTAGTGAACGCTGTAGCTCCTTCACAGTGATTGTTGGCCTCTCTGAGGCTTTCCTCACAAGTCCTCTTGTTGTTCTGAGGCTGAGTTCAGAGGGATGGCCTTGTGTAAGCAGTGCCTTGGTGACATGATGCAGTTTCCATTTCCTCACAATTGATCCACCAGCACTCACTGGGATATCCAAACACTTGGCTATTACTTTGTAGACATTTTCTTTTCTTGTGCATGTCTATATCTAATTTCCTCAGAATGTTCTTGGTCTAAATTTTAACAGTTTTACTTCAGATTCACAGTCTGACCAATTAAACCTGAATTCAGGGGGCATTTTGGCCAGAAGAGGTCAATTTTAATGACTCACAGGTAAATTGTAAGCCAACTGTGTCCTTGTTAGGGCAGTATTTTTCACTTGTGTAAAATAGGAGCACAAATGATTTACATGTGTGAATATTCTAAGTCTAGTACTAAACCTCAACTTCTGTAACCAAAAAGAAATTAAATTTGATCATTTTATGTTTCTGACATTTTAGATTAGCCCTGTGTTTCTCTGGGTTTCCTACAAGGCCAGTTCTATGCAGAGCTCTTGATATCGTTGACTGGTGTCAATGATATCATTGATATAATTGACTTTTTTTTTTAATGTTTGTCCTGAAAATGTACCAAAACAAACTCAGACACACACACGCACGTACCTTGGACCTCACTCATGGTTACTGCTTTCTCTTGCCTCAGGGAAGTCTGGATGGGACTCCCTGCAAACACCACATAGCCCAATCAGTGTCAGGACGTCATGTGAGCCAGGCGTGCTCCCCTCAACACACACGCACACACTTTCACACACGTAGACACACACTTTCCACCTCTTGTACTGTGCCCAGGTGGCCCACTGTCAGGCGATGAAGTCATGGTCACGCAGTCAGCCTTTCTGCCTCATTACTGTGCCATGCTGAGCATTACTATGGCTATAAACACCCACACATACACATATATACAAGCCCATGCATGTCTGGGCTTTGCACTCATTTGACCATTGAGACCCTTTGTGAATGGCTATAGGGCTTCTGTGGAGGTCAGAGCGGTTTTAAAAACCTTTTAAGCCGGTGCAATATAGAAGAAAAGAACAAAAAGACTAATCAGTGTTTTAATCAAATACCGCCCCACATGGATTAAGATTAATGGAACACATGGTTTCCCTACCCAAGGGATGTCCCCCCAGCACCCCCGAGTGGCCTCCTTTAAAAATGGTTTCTTTTATTGTTATTACGGACGCACAGCCGTTACTGTCAAAACCGAGCAGGAATGAGATGGCCCCCCGTGAAGAAAACTGGCTCCGCTTTTTAGTGTTTGGCGAAGGTCCAGTTTCAGTCTGTCTAATCAGACAAGCTGAGAGGAAGAGAGAAAACAGTTTGGTGGAAACTCTGGCTAAGATGAATTGCCTATGTGGGCAGGTCACAGGACCCCGGCAGGCATCTAGCATGCATCCAGCATGCATCCAAAGAGGGTGATTAATTGCTGTCAGAGAAAATCCAAGCCATCATTATGCATATGGAGCTGCAGCAGTAGTCATTCTCTCAGCGGTTCAGTGGTTCACGTTTGGGAAGCGAGTGCACATGTTGGAGTAGATTCCCCGCTCTCCATATCCCGTGAAGTTCCATGAAGGAAAAATTTATGCAAATTTCCTGAAGTTTGCTTTTTTAGTTTAGCTGTGAGGCTAATGTAGCTAACAAATAATGCAAGATTAAGGCTCAATCCCATTTCACCCCTTGCCCCTACCACTTAGCCCTTACCTCTCTGTTTTGTGCATTCACACCTAGAGGTAGGGTGTCCTGATTTTTGTTAAGATAGAGGGGTAGGGAGAAGTGTTGGGGATCATGGCCCTCCAAACGGAGGTTTTTTCGAGGCTCACTCCAAACAAAGAAAGACCGGCAAGATGGCTGCGCAAACAACCAAAGACACCCACAAATGTAGCTAAGAGTTTTCTCTATTAAAAATACGCTAACCATTATATTGTCTTAGTTTAGTGTCGTTTCAATGTATTATGGCCCTTTTCTTCATAGCAAGCATAAAAATGCTAGTAGTTTGCTGATGTCTTGGTAGCTAGCTAAATTTCCCTGTTCCACCTTAAATGGTGCAGCAGTTACATTCTAGCACCTCAGACATCACAACTGCTGCACTATTTAAGGTGGAGCATGGAAATTCAAACAAGAAGCTAATGAATAGCTGACTTCAGCTCATATCACTGAAGAATTAGGGGTGGGCGGGTAATAATTAATTGTCCCGCGCCCCCCTATTTAAAGGCATATCATGTCCTAAATGTAACTAAAGCCCAGCAGTGAGGTTGCTGAACTTTAGCCTGTTAATGAAGTGATTTTTTTTAATTTTTTTTATTTGAGGGTCCCATTTGATAGGGAAAGATTTCACAGTGACACTCAAAAACAAGGGTTAGGGGTAAAAATAAGAAATGGGATTGGGCCTAAGTCACCTCATTGAGCATTGTGCAAACTGCATGACTTAATACCTCAAACTGTGTCAAGTAATGTCAGATGGACTTGCTTATGTGGTTTCTGACACTGCATGACATACTTACCTATGCAAATGAACAAAAGTCCAGACAAAGTATAGGCCTCAAGTTAGCTGCTGGTATTATCTATGCAGTTTACTTTTGTCCCTTTTTTACAGATAACAGTATGTCATGTAATGGCAGAATCCACATAAGCAAGTCTGTTTGAGATTACGAAGATTTGAGACAGCTGTGTGATGATTTTGTCAGCATATTGCTAATTGGTGAGGTATAAGTTTCCATGTCTTGTTGCACGCTCTTGTGCGAAGCTAAATAAGCCACTGTTGCACACAAAACATGTCCTAAGAGACGAGCTATCCTTTAAAAGGCTATCCATGTTAAATGTTCTTATATGCTAGTGGTGTTAACATGGTGTGGGATTATGACTTTATTATTGGCACCTATTGTTTACTAGAACCTCCAGCTAATACAACCCCAACAACTGTTAAGAGAAGTATATAGATGTCTGTACAATATCACATTTTTTTCTGCTCTCCTTCACAGTGGGTGCTGTTGGACTGTGAGTGAAGTAAAGTGGTCTTGTATCGGTCTGAAAGGTTGACTGCTACTCTTAGCGTAAGTGGGTAGCAGGTGTACAGAGTTTCTGCCAGTTTTCTTTGCAGTGTAGCTAAATTGTTCATCACGCCAAGAGACTGTGGAGCGTTGGTTTGTTGCCACTGTTTAGACCTAGTTTAAGGTTTTTTTTACTCGCAGGCTCTTTTAAATCATGTAGGAGGGGGGCACCTGCAGTATATGGATGGGTGAATGAAATCCAGCAATATTTGGTGTAATTTTTGTTTATTTATTTAATTTTTTTCTCCTCTTATGCGACAGTGTTTTTCCCCTCGGTGTTTGGCTTGATGTCGCCCTCTTCTGTGCCTAAGTGCTGGCACTTCTTGCCTACCCAAAATCCTTCTCTTAGCGTTCTGCTAGACACAAGTGCTTGCAATTTTCTCTCACCCTTTTTACAGAGAGGAAAATAATATCCATATTAAGTTTGGAAAAATATTGAGGCATTAACAGTAATATTATGTTAGCAATATTGTGTTTTTGGTGTTTTTTTTTGTGGGGGGGGAGTATTACATATAAATGTTTTCTGTATAAATGTAAGTCAATGGAACCAGACTTTTTTCCAGGTAATTTTGAGTCATTTCCGTTGGTCCATTCGTCATGAAATTTGCACACAAAATATAGGATATTGGGTACTTTCACAGGTACTTTCAAATTATGTCAGAAACTGAAAAATGTGAAAAATGACTGATTTGACTGATACTGTGTGTAATATTTAAACACACACACACACACACACACACATATATGTGTATATATATATATATATATATATATATATATATATATATATATATATATATATATATATATATAATATACAGTATCAATCATAATGATATTTAGACCTCTGATAATTAGCTGTCCCTGGCCTTGAATCAGCACTCTCACTATGAAGTATAGTGTTTTACACCTTCATTGTGTTGCCTAACAGGGGAAGCTTTATTTGCTGATCGAGGAGCTGAGTCAGCTGTTCCGGGCTTTGGTTCCCATCCAGATGTGGTACAAGTACATCATGGGGGAAGATCCATCCAGCAGCTATTTCCTGGGTGCATCGTTGATTATTATCTACAGCCTTTGCAAGGTAAAATGTCATCAACACCTTGTTTCTGTGGGGAATGGAAAAAAAAAAGGCTTTTGTTGCTAATAAATTTCCTATTCCCATCAGTGATTCTGTTTCTTGTAAGGGCAAGGACGTGCATTCACACATTGGACAAACAATGGTGGGATTTCCAAAAGATGTTTTTCGGCAAAGGATTTGAGTAGAAATTTGTGCACGACTGCTGCGCCCCAGCTCCTGAAAATGAGATTTTTATGATGGGCTGAAGAGTTTTATTCAGGGACAGAAGCTTATTACAGGAGCCATTTGAGCAGATCAAAAAGACACTGTCAGATGTGCCTTTGCTATTATCATGTTTTTTTCTGTTTTTTTTTTCCTCTTTTGCAGTCGTTTGATCTTTGTGGGAGAATATCAGGCATTCGGAAAGCGTTCGTTGTTCTGTGTAGCTCTCAGGTTGGTCCTTTTTCCCTCTTCCAAAGGATTTAAGTTCCTGATGTTTATTTCTTTGTGCTATAGTAGTTTGAATATGCACTTTACAAAGCTGATGCATAGCTGGCAGAGAGCCCCCATTAGTTTTGCACCCACACTGCAGCTGTCTCTGTGAACTTCAAGCGTTCTGTCCAGTCATAATGATCAGTGTAGTGGTAGGGGAAATTCCACAGAGCTTTCAAAATTTCAAAATAATCGTAAACAAAGTCATTCAGAGTGTTTCACTGTGAAATGCTACATTCTAGAGAAACTTACCAAGTCTGAATTTTTACATTAGATGAAGAAGGAACCAGATGTCTGAAGCATTTAATTCCTCTAAAAGCTGCATCACTTGAAGCTGTTAGGTGAAATAGTCACAAATGCATAGCTACAGGTGGCTTAAAACCTGCAATTTTAATTTTTTTTACTAAATTGGGAAAATCTGCTTTTAGCTGCAGTACACCAGCAAACTGGAATACATTACAGCAAACTCTAAAGCTCTGCTTACTGGTGTCACTCGACCATTTTAAACTTCTGATTTCTACCCACCTCCACTCAGCCTGCAACTGTTTTATTTGATTGTACGTCTTTTACTGTTCTGTTTGATTTCACTATTTTTATTGAATAATTTTCTTTATAATTTATGTTTGTGTCATTAAATTTTTTTGTTTTGTTTTTCTTATTGTCTGTTATCTTAGTTGTTTCTTTCACATTTTAATTTTTTCATTATATGTTCAATACATAGACTGTTTATTTGAGCTCTTATTTTTTTGTTTTTTTTGTGAACAACTTTCTTATTTTTAATACTAAACAGAAAACATGATGTACAATGACAACACAGATACAAATAAATGCTCTGCCCCCCGAACTCCCTTCCTCTCTCCCTCCCTCCCTCAGTCGGAAAACCGACACAACAAAATTAACACAGAAACAAAAGAGAAACACTATTAATCTATCTATCTATCTATCTATATATATATATATATATATATATATATATATATATATATATATATATATATATATATATATATATATATATATATATATACCTCACATCTATGCCTGCACTCCCTTACTAACACACACAGAAAAAAAATTAACAGAGTGGTGACAGAGATTAGTCTGCTGTCCTGTCCTTGCATGCATTACAGTATGGGTACTCTGTATCCCTAATTTACTACTTTCAAACATTTTACTTATGCATTAAGTAGTTCACTAATGTCACCAGCCAAATTTTCCCATATTTGGATTGTTGAAGCCTTAGCACTGTGTATTCTAGTGGTAGAGAGTTCCATCATAACTATATCATGAAAATAAAATAACATCTTCCTACTATGCAACACATGAGGAGGCATCCAACGCTGAACTTTCATTCATGCTGCAGTCAAACCAGCAAACGTAATTTTCCATCATTTCTCATTGAGCTGTAGATATGAATCATCATTAAGAGCAAAAAATGGTTGAAGGGGAATGTACTTTCCTGTAAGTCTAGAAAGCACAGAGGTCACACTCTTTATTTTATTTATGAATTTTCTGTGTTCATTTAGACATGCGGGTTTTGATTTGTTTTTGTTGATGAAATTGAATATTAACTTTTGTTTTTGTAAATCCCTGTTTAACTTGCTCGGGTATGTTGTAAATGAGATTCATCCTCAAATATATATATATATATATATATATATATATATATATATATATATATATATATATATATATATATATATATATATATTATTTATTTATTTATTTTTTTTTTTAAATTTACCTCTGTTTTACCATCATCATTACATATTAAAACTCAGACACATGTAGGTTCACTAATTTGTTTTGTACAGTAAATAAAACATCTATATAGTCCGCAGGTTTCTTTATAATGAACTATTTTATAAGAATTTGTGTACATTTTAATGATTGAATTATGCTGAAAATGTAAAAAATTGATAAATTCCCCCTTTAGAATTGGGAGATAGATAGATAGATATATATATATATATATATATATATATATATATATATATATATATATATATATATATATATATCAAAATCTAGTCAAAATGAACATGAGAAATTAAAAGAAAAAGTATAGGGACATTTTTAAGAATTTTTTTTTTATATATAATTTCTGTAGACTTTGTCGGTCTGTCTGTCTGTCTATCTGTCCATCTGTCATCCATCCAGCCATTCAGCCCTCCATCCATCCACCACACATATATCCACACATCCACACAGTGCTGTGCAAATGTCTTAGGCACCTAAGTACATTGACATTGTTTAAAACCATTTATCTTGATAAGAAGTGTTTTTCGCCAGTAAAACACCACATATTATTAAAATGAATGCAAAAAATGTGAATACAGTCAAAAGTAACAAAAGCTTCATATTTTGAAAAAAGTAGCTGATATTTTGTAAGGTAGTCTGAAGAACTACAGTTCCAGAATTCTATAGAATATATATGTATAGAATTAATTTACTGTGTGATGCAGTATGTGGTATATTAATGCTTTAGGATATTTTTATGGATTAATTTTTTGCCTGTGTATGTCTCTCTGCTCAGACGTATGGTATGAGAGCCAGCAGTCAGCAGTGCAGTGAAGCAGGAGATGTGTGCGCGATCTGCCAGGCTGAATTCAGAGAGCCAATAGCTCTGCTCTGCCAGGTAAGACCTGCAAAGACACGCTGTGCAGAAACATGCCTGGGGCTATCCTAATGGCACAGTATAACGCATGTTATGTCATATTTTTTATTCAAATTTGACATTGCATTTTGATTTAATAATCATCCATCAGCAAATGTAATATTAATTTGTGTAGGAAATGTCGTTTTCAGGAATGTCATAAAATTTGATGTAAAACAAAATTAAATATTAGAGCAAACTGGGGACACAGTTTTTAAGAGTGGTGTTTTCTACGTAGTTGATTATGGTTTAATCAGAATAAACCTGGCCATTTAATATTTAAGATGTTTAATATTTTACCGTCGTAAACCAGCAGCAAATTTTAAATCCTATATGTCTGGAAACTTTTTGGAGGAGTAGTGTACGTGTACAGTAGACGTGACTGGAGTGAGTGCATTACAGCATGTGTAAGCGAACTGAAGTGACCGCTAGAACGTTTTTGTCTTGCAGCACGTGTTCTGTGAGGACTGTCTTTGTCTGTGGTTCGACCGTGAACGAACCTGTCCGCTGTGCCGCGCAGTAGTTGTGGAGACACCTCGCAGCTGGAAGGACGGCACCACCTCTGCTCACTTTCAGATCTACTGACCACAGCGAGTATCGGGCACAGCGAGCTGGTGGTCTGGGAGGGGAACACAGTCAGTGCACAAGGAATTTTGTAATGTTTTATGATGCCTGGCAGAACTACCATCCAAATCTGTCATTGCTGACCATGGAACTACTATGTATGAGAGTCAAAGGTCGTCATTTCCACATGCGTAGAAGTATTTTACACAGTTTTTGACTTCGTTCTGATTGTCGATGTAATATATTTTATTCTTGTGGAAATGATTTGAGTTTGAATGAAGTATTACACATTTGAATGAAGTACATTCAGTGCATCACTTATTTTCAGTTTCTGAATACAGTCAGATTTGATGTTTTTGTTTTATTTATTTATCCACTTCGTAAAGCACTGATGGCTTTTAACACGGACTGCGCCGTCCACAGCTGTTGCTTCGTTGCAAGTAATAAAGCCCAGATTTGATTACTCAGAACTTTTCTACTTAACTGGGGGAATCGAATTATCCCTTTTCTAGATTTTCTAAGTGAAAATAAGACACATCCTCTACAGACAACTTATGGAAGTCCGGAGAGGCTGTGAGTTATTGCTATAATTTTCTGGATTGTTATCTTGATATAGCAAGATAAGTAAGTTGTTATCTTAAGATAACTTATCAGAAGATTGAGAAGATAAGTTGTTATTTCAGGATAACAATTTTGTCAGCTTGAGATAACAAGATAACTTATCTCAAGATAGCTTTTATCAAAAGATCGAGATAGCAAGATAAGTCATTTCAAGATAACAATTTTGTTATTTTGAGAAGATAAATAACATCTCAAGATAACTGTAATCTTAAGATCACAAGATAATTAACTTGTTATCTTAAGATAACAACTTTTGTTAAACAAGATAAGTAAGTTATTTCAAGATAACAATTTTGTTATTTTGAGAAGATAAATAACATCTCAAGATAATAACTGTAATCTTAAGATCACAAGATAATTAACTTGTTATCTTAAGATAACAACTTTTGTTAAACAAGATAAGTAAGTTATTTCAAGATAACAATTTTGTTATTTTGAGAAGATAAATAACATCTCAAGATAATAACTGTTATCTTAAGATCACAAGATAATTAACTTGTTATCTTAAGATAACAACTTTTGTTAAAAAAGATAAGTAAGTTATTTCAAGATGACAATTGTGGTATTTTGAGAAAACAAGATAATTAACTTATCTCAAAATAATCCAGAAAATTATAACTACCTCATGGCCTCTCTGGACTTATGTAAATTTTAGTGCGCAGCTTCTTTTTATTTTTGGAGTTGACCATATTTGGGGGAAAAAACAAAATATAAAATGCGCTTTAACGTTTGTACATTCTAATATGTTAAATTCAGCAAATAAAAGTAATTGTGGAGGATATTTGAACTTATTTTCGCTTAGAAAATCAACAAATCCTGTCATTTAACAAGTGTACACAGAAAAATCCACTTTGTAAACCACATGCCTCACTCATTAGCTCCCTTGAAGTCTACACAGATAGCCCTGATGTCTCTCCCTCTTGTTCATAATGCTTCCAAATAGGTACAAAATAAAGGTACGAACTCTTGTCACTGGGGTGGGACCCTCAAGGGTACATCTCAGTACCTTTAGTCAGGGAACATAACTGTACCATAATCCACTAATATTATATTTTCTAAGTTGTATTGACTCCACACACCCCGTCTCGTCTCCAGGCTTTTATTTTACTGTTCTGTTTTAAAACATTATATTATGAAAAGGTACAAATACGAACTTTTCACTTGGACAAATTTATTTAAGGTTCACAATCAGATCTTAAAACCACTGTTGTACCTTTGAGGGAACATTTACATTGTTTGTACCTTGATGAATGAAAAATGTACCTGCACAGAACCTTTATTTCTAACAGTGAATGCTAGTGGGTGGAATGGCATGTCTTACGAGCATCAACGTGTTTGAGACATAACAATAGCAATAGCAAGTAAACAATCAAATGTTGCATCGTCCTTTTTTATTCATTGATATGAAATTTTTCTATGACAGGCCCGTTACTTTTGTTGTCTCTGCGCTGGGGACAGTAAGTAAATCCACCACTGCTGTTACATTACATAACGTACTACATCTTCATTGAAAAAAGAAAAGGCTCTTTGTTATGTATCATTGCCCTCTACTGTTGCAGCCTAGTCCTGAGCAGCAAAACAACATGGCGCTTTTAAGCCAAAATGAGTTAAATGGCACTGTAATCTAGGATGAGTTGCATGGTAATGTATGATTGTGTGACATTATCACTTGTGATATTAAAACTCTTTCAGTAAAACGCTTCATTTTGGTAAATTTAAAAGCCTTTTATTTTCATAAAGGACAAAATCACAATATCAAAATAGCGGTAGAGGTAAAACACATGATTTAATAAAAACACCACGCTAGCTGTTCATAATTCAGTTTATATAAAAGATTGTAGCTTATGTAAACATCAGTAGCATGCCCTTAGATTCACATTATGCATGAGATTTCATACAAATTATCTACGTTAACACTGCAACCAACAATCAAGTCGAAGCCCTTTATAAAAAGCTCTAGAAAAGATTGGTCTTGATGTGTAAACACCTACCGAAGGCCAAAATACACCCCAGACAGTTCTACCATACAAATATGCATTGTAATAAAGAGTAACATCGCAGAATGATAGGAAACAATCGAAATTAAAAAAGAAACTTACAGTTTAGACTTCATTTATAATAGCTTATTACAAAAATGTTACAGTGCAATAAGCAGAGGAGAAGGTTTTGGTAACAGTCCGTTAGGCAGTCCTCCTCTGAAGGCTGATGACAATGTACAATTTAGGCAATTTAGATTTTTTTTTTTTAATTCTTTTGCATAACTTTCAGTAATAAATAATCAGTTCTAAGGTCATCAAGTTTGAGCCAAGACTCCTATTGCCATAATGATAAAATTTTCCCCTCAATCGCCAAGGGACAATGACATCAGTGGAGTATTATTAGTGTCCCCAGTGAGCCGCCGGTGGGTTTGACTACATTTGACCTCAGCGCATCTCACCAAAACAAACGCGCCGAATGACATCGAGACACAGCTGGCTCGGCTCGAGGTCCGGCGACCGGGCTGGTGGACCAGTGCTCATCTGGGTTGATGAGAGTGACAACGAAACCGCAAAGTGTTCAGTGATTGCATCCAAACACTCTACCAGACATCATTAAGCACATACACGGATGAGGAGACGGTGAGTGAGCGAGTGTGCGTGGCAGGCTTCCGCAGGCTGAGGGACGTCCTCGCATCCTTGCTTTTCTCTCAACAGGTGTTCACGCTCCGCACTGGTGCGATCTTCAGGCCCATCTGCTCAGAACCCAACTCAGACATAACTGGAGCCTTGAAGTGAAAATAAGTTCAATATCATTGTAATGCAGGCTAGTTTGACTCTCATGGTGATAAAAACTCACCAGGCAGAAAATTAGTAGCATGCATTTCTTTTCTAATACTTGGTGCCCCCTTGCATTAATAACAGCACCAGTCCTGTTATGTAAAGCTTACACCAGTGTCTTGACATTGAGTTCCTCTCCATTTTTTTGCCCTTTTTCCATGAACCAAGTGCTTGTTTCAGTTCTTGTGTGCCTATTTCAGCATTTCATCCTCTGTTCCAATTTGAGAATTGAGCTCTGGTGATTTTGCTGGTCAGTCAAAGTGTCCATCATGTTGAGCCAGTCACATACAGACACCTTACAGCTGTCATATTGGAATATGGGAGTGTCAATGTTGTGTTCTGCTCAGACATGACGCACAAAGTTCTAGTGGACTAAAATGGACAGGAACTATCCCAAGAGACTGGTACACGCCTTATCTGACAGGATTGGTGCTCTCATTGAGGCAATTTAACACTTAAACATGAAATAATGCGACTAATTTTTTGTCCAGCTTGTGATTGTATCACATTTTCCAAACTCAGTAAAATATTTTAGTGATAGAAAAAAAATCACATCAAGCTACAAATCTAATACAAACACTATAGCAATAGTCCTGGTATTGTTAGCTTCATTGTTCAATGTATATAACATTGCAGTTTAGGTAAACACCAGTAGATTTCTCATGTTATGCCTGAAAATTCATAGAGATATTTAAGAGAACAGACCAGCCACTTGGACTTGGAATGCTTAAGATAAATGCCGCCTGTTTTGAAATTTTTCTATAACAATGAACTTAACAAATTTTAAATTATGGCACAAATGTCGGGTCAAATCGCAGTCTGGGCTAATATAATCCAGTATAATGACCTCATCCACATATGTTAAGGGTGTGACGATTTTAATACAGCGTCCAAAAAATCAGAAATGAATTAAACGGTGTTAAAATTGGAAACTATCACCAATAAGCCCCTCAGTTTCTTCTGAGGGTCTCATTTATTTTGTGGAAAAGACTGTCAATGATCTAAACTAGACACCTGTCCATTTTTTTTTGCATTGTTTATGCTCAGTTGCACTGGTTCATATTAGATCGTTCTTTTGCACACGGGCATGCTATTTCCCAATATTTTGTTTTAAAATATATTTTCTACTTTTCTGAGCCAAACTAGTCTGTGTGTAGTATATAATTAACGGTTCGTAAAAGACTTTTATTTTGTAACACATAAAAATATCGTGTATGATGTGTATCGTTCCACCCCTAACACACACAGGCGGTCCACCTGTCTCACCTGTCGTGCTTACCTGTTGCAGCCCTTTTCGGGAGGTGCAGGAAAGCCTGGCTGCGCCCTACAGATGTCGCCATCCCACAAACAGCACGAGCACGGTCACTTGGATCGCCGTGCACAGCAGGTGCATCCCCTTCACGGACACCCTGCCGGTCCCCGCGCTGCCTTTATCACCCTTATTGTCCTGATTATCGTTATCATCATCGCTGTTATCTCCGCCGGTGGCCCAGCTCTTCTCCAGCTCGTCGCCGATCCGGCGCAGACGGTGCGCCAGAGAGCGCGGTGAGCACTGGGCGCCTCCAGGCGCGTGCACGGCGCGCTCCGCCCGAACACAGCAGCACATCGCGCCCCGGCTGCGAGCGGCTCCGCGAGCGCCCTGTCTGCTTCACCGTGCTGCGGGAGGCGCGGACGAGCGAGGCTTCGCGAGCGCGCGAGACCGAGCGGCGTGTTTGTTGCCGTCTGGCTGTATTATTATTTATTAAAGCGTCACATGGTTCAGGGGGGTTTACATCATCTACTCCCAAAAGAGAGCCGTGATCGTTAACTCTTAACGTGCTCCCCCCACCACCTCTCTCTCTCTCTCTCTCTCTCTCTCTCTCTCTCCCTCCCATTCTCTTTCTTAATCTCTCTCTCTCTCTCTCTCTCTCTCTCCCAATTTCCCTCTTTCTTTCTAAGTGTATTCTCTCTATCTATCTGAATTTCCTTCTCTTATTCTTTCTCTTTCTCACTGCTTTTATTCTTTCTCTCTCTGTCTTGACCTCTCTCTCTCTCTTTATTTCTCTCTCTTTATTTCTCTCTCTCTCTCTCTCTCTCTCTCTCTCTCTCTCTCTCTCTCGCGGACATTGCGCGCAAGATGGAAGAGCGCCGTTCGAGAGCTTGTAAATCGACGTTGTAGACGGTTTGATTAAAGCCCGAGAAGGTGACGACGATGCCGTGGTTGTGCCATTAAAGCTACCGCAATGTCAGCAGTGTCTGTCGGTGCGAACTGAAGACAAAAGCCGCAAACAAGAAGTAAACACGCCGTTTAGATGGCTGTGGCGTGTGCGCCACGCGGAACCAACGCAAAAAGGGGCGTTGGATGCGGCCGAGACAGTTTCGAGGTTGCACCGCGGTTTGTTTTGGTTTGCACAAGCTTCAGTGGAAGATAAACATTGGCGTAAATCTTCAATGAATGAAACAAAAATAGCAGAACTTAAATAGTGTTTTAAAGTGAGATGGAGGATGACGACCTGCTGGCCTTCCGGGAGCAGTGGAGGAAGGAGCTGGAGAGAACGAAAGAGGTAAAGAAGGAGAGCAGTGACGGGCGGCCCGGCGTGTCCAGTGTTAATGGAGGAAGAAGTGGCCGCAGCGGTGACGTTAGAGGGAAAGACGGTGATGCCGGGGGCCTGAAAACCGCTGGAGAGCCCCAGTATGTGTCCATCGCTGCAGGCTTGCTGGACGGCAGGAGCAGCCCCCTGCTGGAGAGAATAGCGGAGGAGAGGACACGGAGGAAACGGCGCTATGAAGGAGGAGGAAAGGAGGAGCAGAAGTGCTCTGGTCCTCTTCAGAGGAGAAGAAGCACACTTATAGACCAGCTAATTCAGGATTTGGTGGGTTCAGGATCTCCGAAAGTCTGTGGACACCTGCTCATCCAGTGTTTCTACTGAAATCTAGGGTGTTAGTAGAGAGTTTAGGTAGTAGACAATTCATGGTTTCACTTGGAAATCATTCATCAGAAAGATTTGGTATTTCTTGTGGCGTCCCTCAAGGTCCAGTTTTAGGGCCCTTTGCTTTTCTCTTTGTACATGCTACCTCTAAGTGATGTCATTAGGAAGCATAATATACATTTTCATAGCTGTGCTGATGATACCCAGTTATACGTTTCCATTCCTTCTGATGATCACGACTCTGTAGACAGACTAACCAGCTGTGTGTCAGATGTTTCTCAGTGGATGTCGCAAAATTTTCTACAATTAAATCATGAAAAAACTGATCGTTGGTACAGAAACTCAGAGAGAAAGGCTTTATGAGGAACTCGGTTCTTTGGCTTCATACACCAAACCTGAAGTACGAAACCTGGGTGTGATGTTAGATCCGGCATGTAAACACAGTCACTAAAGTGGCTTTCTATCGTTTGAGAAATGTGGCAAAAGTTCGTCCTTTATCTCAGAGCGAGAGAAACTTGTTCATGCATTTGTTACAAGTAGAGTTGATCACTGTAATGCTCTTCTTACTGGGCTTCCTAGGAAAACAACAGATCCTTTACAACTCGTACAAAATGCAGCAGCATCGTAACAAAAACAACAGAGGGAGATCAGATCACTCCCGTTTTAAAAGAACTGTGCTGGCTGTCTGTATCATTCAGGATAGATTTTAAAGTTCTGCTACTATTTTTTATGCTCTAAATGACCTTAAAGCACCGTTTACATCATAGAGTGTCTGTCTGTTTATGTTCCAGCATGTAATTCTGGATCACAAACGCCACTTCAGCTTATCCCAAAGTTATTGGTTGGAGCTCTATCACTCCAGAAAAGGTCGTTCTACTGCTCCACAGCCCAATGCTGGGGGGCTTTATGCTCCTCTGGCCAGAGTTTGGCATTGACCATGGTTACCTTAGGCTCATGTGCAGCTACTCTTGAGTTCTGTTCCATTGGAAATGTTTTTTTTATGCAGATACAAGCTGTGTGTGTGTGTGTGTGTGTGCAATTGAACACCTTCCAGCAGTTGGTGCATCTTAAAGTAGCTGTATAGAATTAAAAGGGGTCTCTGGATACATTTGGACGCACCGTGCAAGATAGAGTAAAAATTATAACAGAGATGGAAAGCATGGCCTAAGACCACCCTCTAGTCATGTTATATAATAAATGTCAAAGCAAATTGCACCCAGCACCATTTGGACAGTTTTTGTTTGTTTTCATCCTCTAATACATTTGTTTCAACTGTCTGATAACAGATGTGGGTAGAATAGTCAGTGAAATAATAATAACTCAAGTATAAGTTGGTCAAGTTGGTCCCAAAAATGTCTAGAATATAAATAAGTCTCAGGTCCAGAAACTATTCAAGACATCCCTGTAGAACTTGTGTGGAACGTCTTAGTACAGCCAACATTTTTCAGCACATGAACTGAGGTTTGTTAGGGTTTATTCTTTTTTTCCAGATCCTTTTAGTTTATAATGTAATACAGAAGCTCCAAAATGAGAGGTGTGAGTAACGGCAAAACAGGCCCGGAGCTGAACCAACACAGCAGAATGAAATTAGAAATCTTTTTTTTATTGCAGTCAGAAAAAAATCTGTTGAATATTGGTGAACTAAGCAATAGGAACAATGATTATTGTTGTAAAACTAAAAATATTTTATAACATTTTTAGAATAACGTTGCCAGTTCTAATAGCCTTTTTATGTTTTCAATCCTATTTATATTTTTATGTTTTTATTAAAGTTTATGAAAATCTTTTTTGTTTACTACAGTAACCCTAGTTGTACCTGTTTTCTTAATAATAAGTTTCTGCTGTCTTCTGACCCACGTAGAATGAGACCAATGACATCCCTTTCTTTGATGTGGAGTTGCCGTATGAATTGGCTCTGAAGATCTTCCAGTTCCTGAGCAAAGCAGATCTGGGACGATGTGCCCAGGTAAGTAAGATTCTGTTGTGTCCTCTGAGTGGAGAGGCTGTTTTCAGCTGCCAATCTTTTGTTTCCTTTATTAAGAAATATATGCTTGCATTAAGGAGATGCACGCTGGTCCTGCATCTTTACTGAAGTGCTTACCTGAATTATTTTCACTTTAACAGAGCATCCTGAGAGTGTCAGGAGACCGTGCTTACTGTTTTCCTGTCCTTTGTTCTAGGTGAGTAAGTCTTGGAGGATGTTAGCAGAGGATGAAGTTCTGTGGTACCGATTGTGCCTGGAGGAGGGGTATCACAGCGGGGCAAGTGTCTCTGACTCCCCCTGCTGGAAGGGCACTCTCAGAGACTGCTGTAACACTGAGAAGACTGTAAAGTACAACTGGAAGGTAAATAGCAAAGGCCATACAAATGCTGCTCAGCATAATATGATGTAATAAACGTGAGGTTCAAAGCAATTCACTATTACCCAGCTTTTTATTTAGGGTGATCTAAAGTGGCATTTTGTTCTAAACTAGAGTTTGATATGTTACTTATCATGTTATACAGTATTCTCAGAATAATATCCCTAAGCCTAATCGGCTTGACAGAATTCATGATTTTATATCATTTTCTGTTCATCAGTGTTCTCTCCGTACAGTACCCAGTGTGCTTTACATAAATACATCACACAGCCATTGGGAATCCCTGTGGTGTCAACTAGTCTCGACCTAGCCACATATAAATAATAGGCAACAACACTAGCGTTAGTCAGTCTTTTCATGGTTTTGGACTGGATTGTAAAGAAGACAGTGAATCTGACTTTTTTCAGTACAACGTGGACGCCAGATACAAGTTTTTAGACCTTCAGCCTGAGAAAAAAGGCCAAACTAATCTAAGACTTTCAAATAACCAGGTTAAATTAGGACCAGCTAACTGTAGCTTTTAGCTCTGTTCTTTGAGTAATCCCTTCTCTCCTTTGTTATGATGATTTGAAGACAGTTAATACAGCTAAATGTCTGTTATAAAACCTTGTTCTCTTTATTTTTAGATCTAATGTTAGCTTTCTGCATTTTTACCGTATTCACCAGCTAAATGTAAGAAAAAAATTAAAATATTCTGTTCTTAAAAATCCAGCCTAAAGCACTTGTTATATTTCCAGAAAGTTCCTCCTGCTAGTCATCAACCAGACAGTCTCATCACAGACTACTATAGCATCGTTGTACTGTAGCAAAACAGTTTTTTTTAAGTATATTTTTCGCTTTTGCTGGTGTGTCCCTTTGGTTTAAAGGGTTGGGCTAACCATAACCCTTTAAACCAAAGTGGGACACTTTTTGATAGATGAACCAGGAGTTCAAACTGTGACCACACCCAGAACGAAAATGCCAGGCTAAACTAAAAAAAGGTGAATAACAAGCACCATTGTGGTCATTATTCATGATCGGGACATTTGATTGGCTCTCACCTTTTCTGATGTCCGAGCTCAACCAAAACACATACTTACAGTTTGCAGTAACCGGTTTTTCTGTCTGTTCTGTGTCCTACAGAATCGAGTTGGGTCAGTTAGCCACCTTCAGTATGAATTAGGAAAAGTGTTGTGTGATGTGAGCTCCTGTGATGGACTCGTCATTGCTGGGTAAGTGTTGTAAATTAAGTACAGTGGAAGTCAGTTTTGCATGTGTTTCCTGAGTGAAACATTTTCACCACTTCACTTTTGCTTTAAGCAACATTTGCTTTAAGCCTTGAGCAAAAAAACATAGCACCAGCTCACAACAGGATTTCAGTTTTATCCAACAATTACTGATGTATTTGAATTCTACATGATAAGCACTATAGCATTGTAGCCCTACAGTCACCATGAAACCATAAAACAACCATTCAAATCACAGCCCTACAGATTTTCCAGCCTCATTTTAACTAGGAGGTAGGTGTTTGACAAAGTGGCTGAGTAGTTACCCTGAAAAGGAATTCACAGATAATTTCTGCGTAATTCAACTGAGATGTAAACACAGTCGTTCAGGGTGGTTTGATGTGAAAAGGTGCATTATGGAGGAATTAACAGGCTTTACAGTGGTCCTGAGAGTAACCAGGGATTGCAGTGTCTGCAACACAACTACAACCATTATATTTATTTTCCAAAATGACCAGTGAGCCTACATGTGTTTTCTGGGTTTTTGTATGTAATGTCGATTAGTTTATGTTTTAGGAAACAACCTTATCTTAAAACCATTATAAAACAGTGTATCAGGCGTCAGGCATGGTGTCTTTCAGGGTTGTTTTCATTAGACTAATTTTTGTTTTATATTTCAGTTAGTCTTAAGGGGTGCATTTATAGTTTTAGTTTTGTTTTAATTTTCTGAAGAGTAGTATTTTTATTAGTTTTAGTTTTAGCTTTATGATGGATGCTGTGATAGTAAGTATTTAAGAAGTGTAGAATAAGGTAGACAGAGCTGGTCTTGGCTCCAGCTTTCATTAAAGACGTTCATTAAAGAAATCCACATCTAAATGTACAAATACATACTTAATAAATACATACAACTTATTTAAGGTGCACAATTAGACCTTAAAACCGCTGTTGTACCTTTGAAACATTTACATTGTTCGTACCTTGGTGAACGAAAAATGTACCTTCACAGTACCTTTATTTCTAACGGTATAAAAACATTCTGTGAGAGAGCTTTTAGAGGCATTACACTCTTCAGATGTCTAGTTCAGTATTCCCAACAGTATGTATGTTCTCCTGCAGGTATACCTCAGGTGATATTCGACTATGGGACACTGTCCACTGGGACTCAGGTGCTTTGTACCTGAAAGCTGGCCACACCATTAGAGATGATATCCCACCACCTCATGTCAGTTTTGTGCGAGTTTGTGAGACAGTGGCCTCTGCTGTCTACGAAAATGGTGAGAGTTGTGGTGATTTTGCCTCAGTGAATCTGTTAAAGGGCCTATATGCTAAATCAACAGCCAACAACATGTTCTGAATTCTTTGGTCTTGTGATGTCATGAAAACCAGCACATTTACGTAAGCCCACCTGTGTGTCCTACAGTAGTTTAGCCACGCCTCTTCATACTGAAATTATAAGAAGTGTTTATAGGGAGTGTTTCAGCCCAGGCTGCTTTAAGAATGAAGCCCAATACAAGACAGCCAATCAGGAAGGGGGTTATTTAGATATTAGTTTTGAAGACATAGTAACAAAAGTGGAAAAGTGGCTTAAAATAGCCTCTTTAATTCTAAGGGATAAAAAAGATAATGCAAAAAAATATAATGCAAATATAATGTAGTATAAGGGCCAATTAGAATTTCCTTTATGTCCAATTTGCAGTAACATGTACTTGCATGAAAAGACTCTACCTGATTGTCTCAGTGTATCCGATCCTGGTCTCGGCATTTCAGGGTGTGTTGATGTGTGGAGCACTGAGGCTGGTCTGGAGCCCATCCATCACTATCAGCACCTCCAGCGGGTCCATGCCCTAGACCTGAGCACTGATGGACCAGTCTTAGCCACTGCATCTGGGTTAGAGGTGCGAGTGGATTCCCCTGATGATGGAGGATACTGGAAATCAAGGTGCATCACCCAGCTATCGAAACCTGTAAGTGTGTTCTGTTTGTGTTGTGTCTATTGACAACAGGTAAAATGGTCGACTACCATGCAGTGTTAGCTTATGCTTTGGGTTTGAATTGAATTTAGTTGATAGAAATTGAGGCTGAACAGAATTGAGTTTCCATAAATTCACTAATTTAGTATGAGTTACGGTGTGAATGTTAAATTATTTTGCTGTCCTAATCACAGACTCACCTGTGGCCTGTAAAAATAACACCATTTTTTCATTGTTTTTCTTGTTATTACGAAACATTAAGCATTTGAATGTGGATGTCCGTTATGTTTGAGGTTAAGTGTTTTATTAATGTAAATGTTTATCAGTTTTAATTATCAAAAAAAAAGAATTGTGTAAAGGCTGTTACTTATCAAACAGAACATCAATAAACTACACAAAAAATATATTGTTTATTGAATTTTTGCTACATCAAAATTATTCACATCAGATTTTTTTTTAATTAGTTTGTCTTGTTTCCTGCAATGCAAAATGATGAACAAAAGGGCCAGATATCTTCAAAGACAAAAAGATATCCTTTGCTACTCACAAAACTGGCAAACGGTGACATTGCATACTTAACATTTTGGAAAAATGAAAGGAGAACCGCCTCATTCATGAGGTTGGATCTCTTTAACTGCTTTTGGAGATACTAGAACATGATGGAATAGAAGACAAACTTATCCTTTTATAGTTTCAGTTCTAGTTGCTGGGACATGACTGATCAATCATCTTGGTTGTTGTCATACCAACATTGGCAGCAACAATGATTTGTTCCCAAAAAGCGAACAGACTGCAAATAAAATAATGTGGCATATTCACCGTTTGGAAAATCATGTTTGGTATGCCAGATGTCATCAGTTATTCACGCGTTCAGATACCTTTATTGATATCCAAATAAATCACGCTCGCTGTGTAAAGGCCTTAAGGCTGGTTGGACCTATTGATGATCCAGGATAGCGGTGTTTGCTGTTTTTAAATAAAACCGTTCACTAGGTTCTGTAAACTTTCAGGTGGATGGGGTATTGGTGGTCCCAGGGAAGCGGGTGTTGCCGCTGGTTTTGGCGTGGGCTGGCGAGAGCGTTTCCATGCTGGATTCAAGTCGGAATGAAGACGAGGAGGTGGGGTGGACGATATGACAATGTGACATCATTGTTATGATAAATTACAGTATGATTAGTGTTTCTGAGCTTTTCTGGGGTATCATGAGTACTTAAGGAACATTTGAGGTTTCATTAAATGGATTTAGCAAGGGCTCCCAAGTGCCGTAGCTGCATGTCCAGAGAACAAGTTTAAATCCTAACAATGGCCAGTGTCTGAGAGAGCATAACTGCCCCTTGCTTTATTGGATTTAAAGATTTGCCATATGTGAAATGTTGAATAAAAAAAGTTGTTATACATTGAGAAAATACTTTTAAGTGTCGTACCATTATTTTTAGCTGTATTTCCCATCCTTAGGAGCAGAATGAAGGAGCCAGACTGCTCCACTATGTATATGGCCAGCCAGTCACTTGCCTGGATGTGACTGCATGCAGAGCAGCCCTGGGGGTGAAGAGCTGTGGCTGGGGCATGAATGACGGAGGGAACAAGGTGAGTTGGCAAACACAGACATGTAGATGCATGTATACAATGTTTAAAAATGCGTTACCCTAGCAAACTAACATTATAGTCGTTGATTATATATGTATATACACCGATCAGCCATAACATAATGACCACCTCCTTGTTTCTACGCTTATTGTCCATTTTTATCAGCTCCACTTACTATATAGGTGCACTTTGTAGTTCTACAGTTACAGACTGTAGTCCATCTGTTTCTCTGCATACTTTGTTAGCCCCCTTTTACCCTGTTCTTCAGTGGTCAGGACCCCCATGGACCCTCACAGAGCAGGTCCTATTTGGGTGGTGGATCATTCTCAGCACTGCAGTGACACTGGTGCGGGTGGTGTGTTAGTGTGTGTTGTGCTGGTATGAGTGGATCAGACACAGCAGTGCTGCTGGAGTTTTTAAACACTGTGTCCACTCACTGTCCACTCTATTAGACACTCCTACCTTGTCAGTCCACCTTGTAGATGTAACGTCAGAGACGATAGCTCATCTGCTGCTGCACAGTTTGTGTTGGTCATCCTCTGGTCCTTCATCAGTGGTCACAGGACGCTGCCCACAGGACGCTGTTGGCTGAATATTTTTGGTTGGTGGACTCTTCTCAGTCCAGCAGTGACACTGAGGTGTTTAAAAACTCCAGCAGCACTGCTGTGTCTGATCCACTCAGACAAGCGCAACACACACTAACACACCACCACCACCACGTCAGTGTTACTGGAGTGCTGAGAATGATCCACCACCCAAATAGTACCTGCTCTGTGAGGGTCCATGGGGGTCCTGACCACTGAAGAACAGGGTAAAAGGGGGCAAACAAAGTATCAGAGAAACAGATGGACTACAGTCTGTAACTGTAGAACTACAAAGTGCACCTATATAGTAATTGGAGCTGATAAAATGGTCAATGAGCGTAGAAACAAGCAGGTGGTCATAATGTTATGCCTGATTGGTGTATAATACTGAACATTTAGTCATTCTTATTCAGTTGTTTTATGACTTTTACACTTGATGTAAAAAGGTGATTAGACTTTGTCGTCTATATGGGTACAGCCTTGTATTATTATATTTCTTGAACAGTGTGTACAGTTGTATATTTGTAAATGCCCTCCCAGAGCACCTTGTAATGAACAGTTGTTATACATTTGGGGTTCTTTTAGAAATAGCCTGTCCTTCAGGACCTCTTACCTAATTAGCAGAAACATTGGGTCCTAATCTTTCACCTCTGAGACATCTGTTTGTTTTTAGTTCTAACAGAAAGCTGTTTTTATCTAGTTTAAGTCTGTGACACATTGGAGACCTAGCTGGTACTTTAACAACCCCTGTGGGCTTTGAGAATGAGCTTAAGCAATGTTGTCATCATAGCCATCATGCTAAAAAGCCCAACAATGCTGTACTCCAACAAGTATACCTTAAAATAAACCCACTTAAGTCACAAGAGACTTTTCCACTAAGAACAACCCTGGTGGTTTTTAGCAAGCCTTTAAAAATACCTGTGCATGTCTTGAGGGGTTGTAGCCCAAAGCTCAGGCCCATCTCTCGAGGAACGAGTACGCTTAAAGAAAAAGGGGGGAGGTGGGGTGGGGGGAGGTGGGGTCATCAAGGATTCTTGATTTAAGGTAATGGTTATGTAAAGAACCATAAAACCATTTGAATGCTTAAAGGGTTCATTGTAGTTCAGAAAATGGTTCTTTTTGTATGTGCAGTTCTAATTTAGCTACAGCCTCTATAAAGCTATGATGGTTAATTATTATATTCTCAATTTTATTATTATTATTATTATTATTATTATTGTTACTATTATTATTGTTATTATTGTCATTATTATTATTATTATTAATAATAATAATACAGTGAGCTCCATAAATATTGGTACCCTTGGTAAAGATGGGTAAAACGGCCATGAAAAGAAAACAACATAAACAACACGATTGAAACTAAATTACATGTGTCTCATTATTGGCACTCTGTATTTAGAACTTCAACCTCCCTGCGCCAACAAAACAGCTTTGTGTTTTCTCTTGAGAATACAGAGCAAGCAATTTGAGACCACTCCTCAATAAACAATCCCTCCAGATCGTTCCAGGATCCTGGGTCCTCTCTTTTGGACTCTCTTCTTTTTAGCTCACCCCACAGGTTTTTAGTGGGGTTTAGATCAGAGAACTGTGATCATCATTTCAAAAATATGGTAATTTGACCATTTTTTGTAGAGATTTGGATGCATGTTTTGGATAGTTATCTTGGTGGAAGGTTCAACCACAGTCCACTTTTTGGCTTTCCTGAGAGATTTTATTTATCTAAAATCTCCTGCTACTTCATGGAATCCATCATGTCATGTATCAAAATGAGGTTCCTGGAGACTTCTATGGAAAAGCAAACCCAAACATTACAGTTCCTCCACTGTGCCTAACCTTCTTTCATTTTGCTGCCAAAAGCCTCTTTTTCTGACCATAGAACCATAGAAGTGCTTCACAGACAAGTGATAAAGCTTAACAGTAATAGAAGATTATATAGAAATATATAGATCATTATAGAACCAAAAAGAGTTGCCATAGAATTTTTATTTTTTTGTATTATATAGACCATTTGTTGCTAAGAGTGTAGGAGGCTGAGTAAAGTGTAATGGAGTTGATAGTAATTAGATGAGTGTGAGATGGATGTGTGCAGATGGTGTCGCTCTGTATTAGACAATAGCTTGGCACTGCTCCTCCGCTGACATCACCACCATTTAAACACTTTCATTAGTGAGACGGCTGCAAGAGCTGCGGAGCAGAGAAACGAGCGAAAGTTTGAGTGACAGAGCAATTTCTCAAAGTCGGAGGAGGGCTATGTGACCCTCTCACGTTTCGTCTTTTCGCTCACAGCAGCAGAATGATGCCTCCGTTTGAATTTGTCTGTGGTGTCCTTATCAGCCAGTCTTAAACATCTACACATCTCTGCAATGAGATGTCCAATTAGACAGAAGAAACGGTGTAACTGGACAGCAACACAGTTTTTGTTATATGGCTCTGTAATCCAACACAATTTGAAAAGAAACAGTGACTATGAAGTTTAAGTGTAGAATGTCAACTTTGATGTGAAGATATCTTCATGTTCACTCACTGAGCACTTTATTTATACATTTTACCAGCTCTACTTACACATAGATGCACTTTGTAGTTCTACAATTACAGACTGTAGTCCATCTGTTTCTCTGCATACTTTGTCACCCCCCTTTTACCCTGTTCTTCAGTGGTCAGGACTCCCACAGGACCACCATAGAGCAGGTATTATTTGGGTGGTGGATCATTTTCAGCACTCCAGTAACACTGATGTGGTGGTGGTGTGTTAGTGTGTGTTGCGCTGGTCTGAGTGGATCAGACACAGCAGTGCTGCTGGAGTTTTTAAACACCTCAGTGTCACTGCTGGACTGAGAATAGTCCACCAACCAAAAATATCCAGCCAACAGTGTCCTGCGGGCAGCGTCCTGTGACCACTGTTATTGTGAAAAATTATACCAGTATGCTTTTCAGAGCATAAGAGCATAAAACCACTAAAAACACTGACTGACTACACGTTTCATTACCAAGTAAGCATAATTAGGCCTGTTTAACTGAATTTATTGCCATGCACTTTGCAAAACATTGAATAAAAATCATTGCAGTTGTAGGTTTATTATTACAACTATTATTATTGTTGTTGTTGTTATTACATTTTTATACATGGCACTACTGGTACTAGTTTGCGTGTTCCAACTTAATAAATCTCAGATAAATATGATAAAACATGATACACGATATGGTGGCGTGTTGGTGTGTTTTGCGCTGGTACGAGTGGATCAGGCACAGCAACATGACAGTGTAACTAACACAAACTGTGCAGCAACAGGTGAGCTATGAGTGGACAGTAAGTGGACACAGTGTTTGAAAAGTCCAACAGCACCCAAATAATTCCTGCCCTGTGGTGGTCCTGTGGGGGTCCTGACCATCGAAGAACAGGGTAAAAGGGGTCTAACAGAATATACAGAGAAACAGATGGGCTATGGTCAATTTAGAACTACAGAGTGCTCCTATATGGTAAGTGGAGCTGATAAAATGGACAAGGCAGGTGTACTAAATGAGGTGGCTGGTCAGTGTAAATGTTTTTTTTTTTGTTTGTTTGTTTGTTTTTTTTTTGCAGTGGTTTTAACTGTGGCTTTGCCAATCAGATTTTAAAGCCAGTGTGATCGTGGTGGTCTCCCCTGTTGAGCTGGTCTCTTTTGGCATCATCCTGTCTAGGATATTGTCGCTGTCCAATGAAAACCATGCATCTCCATTTTTGTTGATTTTCAGTTTTCTACATCATTTCAACACACCAGCTGTCCTTAATGTTGTGTAAAAATTTCATGATGAATGGACCAATAGAAATGCTCTAAAATCACTTGGAACAAAATCTTTTTACATTGACTTACATTGAAATGTAAGAGTGTTTTTGCCTTCTCCTCTAAAGTTAATATTTTGGAGATACTTCTTTTTCATTGGACAGCGACGATACGTTATAAGGTACTGTTTAGCTATTAAAGTGGTAGGCTTTTGGTGTGACGCCTTGGTTTTAACTTCTTATTTTATTTAAGACCTCATTTCACAGAAATGGAAGCAAACCACCAAGCTAACCAATGGGGACAGTAGTTAAAGTGGACACAAGCTGTCTGTCAGCTAACTTTTATTTCAGCTACACCTTGCCCAGAATGTCCTACTTGAAATGAAATGTCCTGTTTTTTCCTGAGTCCTGTCTCAGCCTTTTTATGAAACGATATTAGCTATCTAGCTAAGTGCTGCATTCTGAACCTTGCTTTGCCCAAATGGTCCCTTTGTCCCGTAGCTATCCTTTGATAGCAGCTATTGACAGCTATCTAGCAGCACGTATACATAGCAGCACTTTTGGTAAGCAAAACCACTTTCTATAAATGTTTACATGTTTTTTCAATCTCTAACATTCATGTAAACAACACAGGTAACCACATGAGTGGTTTT